GGTGAAAAGCTAGTTTAGTCAATCGTCAAGTACGTCTTCCCGCTTGGCTTATTAGTTACTCCGTATTACGAAACGTGAATTTAAGATTTAGAAGTACAGCTTTAGGATGATGGACGGACTGCTGAGTTATTGGGGGCAACTAGTTTTCTCTATTGGGGGCAATTACTTACATTTTAATGTTTATTAATAAATTACAAGGGATTAGTAAGGTTTTATTGGGGGCAGCTGCCCCCACAAAAGTGTTAGTAGATCCGCCCCTGGTGCTCCAAGTATTCAGAAATCATTGATTACAATTTTTGGCAAAAGATTCAATACAACACTTTACAAGAATATAACATCTATCACCACCACCAAATAAGGTATTCCAAACCAGAATATATCCTCAAAATATGGTACTAAATATGTTCATAACATAGTTCAATTCACACCAAAACAACCTCCACAATTTTACAGTCCAAATTAACTATTTCCTAAAAATCACAATTTTCGTCAAAGCAAATCGATTTGATAAATTCACCAGAAAATAAAATGTTCATAAATTCCCAGAAAATCATACATAATCATATCCATACTATAATAACCAAAATATTCATAAATTTCAGAAAGAAACTCAAATCATAGCACAAACCCTAATTAATACATAATAGGAGCAAAATAGTAGTTTTGGTTGCAATAGTCCTTACCTCGAGGTTAGCAACGAATCCTAAACATCAAACCTAACTTGAGTGGTCACTCACACATCCCTAGAAAGTTATGAGATCGAAGGATCACAATTTGGGAGAGAGAAATCAAGAAAACGAAGAAACGTTGTGAATGAGGCAACAAACGCACTTACCGGAAGATTAGATCGTTGGATCACGTTCTTGGACTCTAAATTCGTGTTGGATGTGTTAATATTGAAGAGCTGGAAGATATAGATCTTTAAGAGGTGGTCCTAGGGTTTTTGGAATGAAGAAAATCGGGTTAGAGATGTATATATAATCAATTTCCGAAATTTGGGTCACATTAGGATAAAACAGGGTGCACACGTGGAGCGGGTGTTACCCCACGCCAAGCGGACCTAGCAGACCCCTGGGTTGAAAATTGTGAAAGTACGCACGCTGAGCGGATGTTTCCCGCACGGCGAGCAGACCTGGCAAAACCATGGGTCGAAAATTGTGAAGGTCCGCACGCTGAGCAGATTTTGCCTGCACGCCGAGTGGGTTTCCCTGGAATCCAAAACCTTAGGGCATAGCTTCCAATTCCAAAACCTTGTATTAATTCACCTCGGTTTCACTTATTCACTAGAAATTAAAGTGCATCGCTTTTAAAATTAACTAATAACGCTAATAAGTTGATAAAATGATGTTCTACAATGACTCCCGTTGGTCTTATGGGAGATCAGCATCACCCTTTGATTCAGGCTTAACCACCCAACCTGTTGGCACCACAAAGTGGTGCAGCCCCTCATGTCCATCCGCCGCTCAGTAGTGGGGCTCTGCACTGCCGTAGTGAACTGTGGGGGGTGCCCCACAGGAATCTACCTTGACTTGGGGACTACAGAGTAATGGGTTAAATAGAGGGTGTCCACTTTCTTATCACCAATTGGTTTTAAGAAAGATGTAGCTGCTATTTAACCACAAAACTCTGGAGTTAAGCGAGCCCGGGGTAAGAAAGCCCAAGGATGGGTGACCCACTGGGAAGTTTGTCGACAAGGGGTGAATCGATCCAACAACTACTTTAACAAATTCTTTTAGAAAAAATTCCACTTTTGGTCCCATGACTATGATGTCACTTCCACATTACACCCTTGACTTTCAATTTAACCAAATCTAGTTCGTGACCTTTTCCCCTTCACCACCCGTCGTCCTTCCGACCACAACTCCGACAAATTTTAACCGGAAATCAATTAATGAAGGTTAGTTGCGTCATTTAATAGCATTTATAGGTTTTCTTATCGAAAAAATTCCACTTTTGGTCACATGACTATTATGCCACTTCCACATTACTCCCTTGACTTTCAATTTAACCAAATCTAGTCCGTGACCTTTTCCCCTTCACCACCCGTAGTCCTTCCGACCACAACTCCGGCAAATTTTAACCGGAAACTCATTTATGTAGAAATATTGGGGACATTTTAGTAATTGTATATTTTTAAAATGGCTACCTACAAAATTAACTTCAATTAATGTTGAGTTAATACGCCGGCTTCCTTCATTCTCAAAACCGAAGTCTTCTCCAATTTCCCAAACTTCCGTCAGCCTGAAAATCCCCAACCATCGTTCGAACAATGAGGACCCGTCCGGACCGTCAGAGTGAAGGAGAACGAACAAGTGTTGAACGACGTTCGCCAACAAATGCTGGTGATAAAGGTAAGAGGTTGAACTTTTTAAAAAAAGAGTGGAAGAAAGTAATGAATACAAGGCTGAAATGAGGTGTATATAATTGGTGTTTGCACATGTTACCTTCTTCCACTCTTTTTTTAAAAAAAAACCTCTTTTTCAGCCTCAACATAAAACCCCTAACATGGGCAAACATCAATTATATACACCTCATTTCAGCCTTGTATTCATTACTTACTTCCACTCTTTTTAAAAAAAAGTTCAACCTCTTACCTTTATCACCAGCATTTGTTGGTGAACGTCGCACTTGTTCCTTCTCCTTCACTCCGACGGTCCGGACGGATCCTCATTGTTCGAATGATGGTTGGGGATTTTCCAGGCTGACGGAAGTTTGGGAAATTGGAGAAGACTTCGATTTTGAGAATGAAGGAAGCCGGCGTATTAACACAACATTAATTGAAGTTAATTTTGTAGGTAGCCGTTTTAACAACATGCAATTACTAAAATGCCCCCAATATTTCTACATAAATGAGTTTCCGGTTAAAAATTGCCGGATTTGTGGTCGGAAGGACGACGGGTGGTGAAGGGGAAAAAGTCACGGACTAGATTTGGTTAAATTGAAAGTCAAGGGAGTAATTTGGAAGTAGCATAATAGTCATGGGATCAAAAGTGGAATTTTTTCGATAAGAAAACCTATAAATGCTATTAAATGACGCAACTAACCTTCATTAATTGGTTTCCGGTTAAAATTTTCTGGAGTTGTGGTCGGAAGGACGACGGGTGGTGAAGGGGAAAAGGTCACGGACTAGATTTGGTTAAATTGAAAGTAAAGGGAGTAATGTGGAAGTGGTATAATAGTCGTGGGATCAAAAGTGGAATTTTTTCAATTCTTTTAATAAAGTAACTTCAATCTTAATTATTTTGATTATTTCTCATAAGTTAAAAAACTACGTACCTATTTGATAAAAGCTAACTAACAAGGCTGATAGTTAAGTTAATTATAAGGGTGTTATCAAAGGACTAATAAGGCTGAAAGCGATCAAGTGCTTTTTTCAAATTAAAAAAAATGTTGTTTTAAGTTTTCATTCAAGTGTATCCTGGGAAGGTGGGAAGGCGGGAAGGGAGATGTAGTGAAGGCCTCAACCAGATTGTTCCGAGCTTCATCCATGAATCCAGATTAAACCATCTTATAATATAATCCACCTTTAACAAATGCAAACCATTATAATATAATACGGAGTAGTAAATGATAACTTGGTCAAACTTATAAAAGTAAAAGCGAAAATAATATTTTAACAAGAAAAATAAAATATATTTGAAAGCAAAATACTACAAACTATTTTCAATTGGTTTAATAAAGGTAAAAATCATTTTTAGATTAATAAGGGGAATTCAACATATTAATTTTTAACTAATAGAAATTTTGAAAAGATTATCAAAATAAAAGTAAATCTTAAAAAATGAAGATATTCGGAGTATAAAAGTAACTAAAACTGAATTCTAATTTATTAAAATTATAAGTATTTGAGAAATGAAAGAATTATTTTATAATGCAAATTAAATACAATAATACTTAACAAATTTAAAAAATGTGACTTAACTTGTAACTGTTATTGATTCAAAATAACATTGCTACAGACACATCTGGTGAGAGTGCTGGTTACATGTTATTATACTACCAGAGTTTTTGCCAGGTCCCCCCACTATTGTCTAAGTGATCTTTTGGTAATCGAGTTTCAACTTTTGCAATATTCATCATCGACTATTCTGCGAGAGACACTTTTGGTCCTTGGCTTAAAAGTTTCTCATCATATTTAGTCCCCTAAGTGTTATCAAATTGAGACTTCTAGGCCTTTCGCACTATTATAAATGTAACTCTTATAATAGTTAAAGGATAAAAAAATCTCACTTTTATCAAAGACGGATACTAAAAATGTCTTTCAACACAATAGTATAGGATTGAAAGTGGAAAAATTCAAATTCAAGTACCAAAAACATCACTGAAACAATTCCAATAGTCGAATTAGAGGAATAATAGTAACACGAATTACATATTTAGATGCGAAAATATGATGCGAAAATATGATTTTAAATGAGAAAATAATGCAAGTTACATCACAAAATAACATGTGTTTTAGATGCGAAAATATGATTGTAAAAAACATTTTTATATCCCTTATACTAATAACAAAACACATTCACTATTTACGTAATTAATGTAATTAGACAATTAGACTCATTTTTTCATTGTTCCATTGGAATCAATGTTTTGTTTCTTATACAGTGTATTAGATAACATACATTTCAACTTGCTTGCAGTTGAATTTCTCATCAATGTAAATCACATTTCTTTATACGTGAGTTACATTACTCGACTAATAAAACAAAACAAAAAATTTATTGTTACTAAGATACTCACCATGAGCCGCTCTCACGTTATAACAGGTGGGATAGTATGCTTGGCATTTATAAAATCAGGTGTACACGCTCATATGTACACACCCCATACACATATGTTTGAACATGTTATTTATATTTTCTATTATCTTTCATATGTCTTCAAAAATAGTAAACCACAAATATACCTTATAACTAATAAATAATGTTCAAAATATTTTCCTTAATAAAATAACTTAACTAGCTAGGGGATAGGATTTTTTTAATAACTTAACTAGGAGTTTTAATTGCTACGCATGTTATATTTTATAGCTAGGTGATATCCTAGACTTGAAGATAAATTTGTTCTTCAAATCATCCAATGCAACTTAATATTCTTTGAATACTAGCTTTAAATTGACCTTTAGTCTTCAATTTCATGGCCACCGGATTTTTGTTTGTCTAACATTCCCTTTAATTTTTTCCCTTCCCAACCAGGCGAATTAAGTCATTTTCTAGCTAATGGCGATACCGGCAGATGTAGAAGCATACTTGAGCACCCTCATTCGTGATGCTCCATCGCAATTTGTATGTATATTCAATCTTTTCATACACACACCTCAACCCATCAGTTACTATAGATAGAGTCCAGGGGCAGATTCAAGAATCTGCGGATGCCCCCGGTGTTAAAAGTGATTATATTAGATTTAAATATAGAAGTATTTTAGTCTAAATATGAAAACTGAAAAACATTACACTAAAATATTAAAAAGAAAAAAAAATTACTCTTCACTTTAAGTACGTAATTAAGTACGTTGATCCAGGGGCAGAGCCACCCTTTAAAGTGTGGTGTCAATTGACACCACTGAATCCCCACCCACCCACCAATATATAAGTATACTACTACTCCGTCCCATAATGGTTGTCCACTTTCAATTTGGCACGATTATAAATAAAGTGGTTGAAAAGTAAAAGTTGTGGTTGAGATTTGAGTATAATAAAGTGAATTGATAAGAACCACATATTTCATCCAAAAAGGAAACAAGACATTCATTTTGGGACAATCCAAAAAGGAAAGTAGGACAACCAAAATGAGACGGAGGGAGTATTTCTTTAAAAAAATTATAAATTAACATCACTGAAAAATAAAAATTCTATGTATATGCATAGATAATCTTTTATAAATTGACACCACTGAAACTAGATGATGACTCCACCCATGCACATCCTTAAATTAATAGAGTATGATTTAATTTGTGAATATGCATGCAGAAACGTGAATTTGAGGAATTCGAGAGGACTGTGGAGCCGACTTGGCCGAAGTTGGTTGAGCCATTCGAGAGGTTCCAATATATGTTTCAGCGGCCCACATATAAATTGGAGATGGTACTCAGTAATGCTGATTTAGAGATGGACGTCGTTATTTCAGATAGTCCCCAACTGAGCTCCATCACCGAAGAAGTTTTGGTTAGTTTCAAATTATTACTCATCTAGCTACCTGTGGGCTTTCTTGTTGTGTGGTATCAAATTTTAAACCAATACATTCGTTACATTTATGACACATCACAACTCATCACATTTTGATCTATCTTTACACTATATATGTTGATAATGCACAAAAATTGCATATCAAGGCCGGGTATTTCACACAATAAGCTCAAAGTATATGACAATTTAGTTTGATCATTTTTTTGTTATGTTAAATTTTTATAGTCTTATTTCTAAGTCATAAAACTAAAAAATGTATCGTTTTTTTTAATCGGTCTCTTGCTTGTTTTCATATGATTAATTGCATATCAAGGCCGGGTATTTCACACAATAAGCTCAAAGTATATGACAATTTAGTTTGATCATTTTTTTGTTATGTTAAATTTTTATAGTCTTATTTCTAAGTCATAAAACTAAAAAATGTATCGTTTTTTTTTAATCGGTCTCTTGCTTGTTTTCATATGATTAATTTGTGTCTGCTTCATTCCAAATACGCATATTTGATCATTACAAAATTTAAGTACTCCATTTTATAATAAATGCAAACTCAGCAATCGCATCTCAATTAACTTGTATTTATATATAGAATGAAGAAAAATTGACCACAATAATTACACCTTTGACCGGTTTATTATAACAATCTCACCTTAACATAATCTCATAATAATCTCACCTTTTCATCCCATCTTTTGTCATTGGACCCTGACCACTTGATGACCTACTATACCATGTTTTTTGCCCTTTCCTTGAAAATCTTAAATAAATAAGCAAATAAAAAAATAAATAAATAAATAAGTTTATAAATAAATAAATAAATAAATAAATAAATAAATAAATAAATAAATAAATAAATAAATAAATAAATAAATAAATAAATAAATAAATAAATAAATAAATAAATAAATAAATAAATAAATAAATAAATAAATAAATAAATAAATAAATAAATAAATAAATAAATAAATAAATAAATAAATAAATAAATAAATAAATAAATAAATAAATAAATAAATAAATAAATATGAATGAATGAATTTATATGTTAGAACTGGTATACCATTAACTTGTCATAATTGATGATATTTTCACGTAAGACAGTAATTACTTCTGTTTTAACAATAAATATATTTTTATTCCATTTGAGTTTCCACATTATTTTACTCAAATTTAGTGAACGGCTTTGCCTTAGCAAATTATAAAATGTGTGTCGGACATCTCTTATTCGTTATGTATTTTATTAAAATGTGACTTTTTTAGTCTTTCTTTCCCTTGCAATTTCTAACTCACTTATAACTCTTACTGCATTGTGTTCACTTTAATTGTTTTTCGCCGGCCTTCAGCAAGAAATTGTTTCTTTTAAGCCAAGATTGTACCAAAGTAAACCAATTTATAATGCATTTAAAGCCATAAAAAAGTCTGCAGAATGGCATGCTCTTACTGATGCTCGCAAGCGAATCGTAGATGGTATGTGCATCAAATTAAATTAGAGTTCATTCATTTGTTAATTACGTTTCAATAATATACGGGGTATTTCCTATTTTAAATTAATTAACCCTATTATCAAATATTTCTTGCTCAGTTACTCCCACAATCCCAAAATATGCTTTCCTCTTTCCACCTTTGTCCTCCCTTAATTAGAATATTTAGCTCCTTTTAAAAATTGTAATCATATTGTTCTCTCACCCTACGTTCGTCTAAATTAAATAAATTCAAAAAGAACTTTTTTCTATTTAAATATTGTAAAAACATGTGGTTCCATCGTAAAAGTTGATATGAGGAGTTGTTCTTAGCTTTATACTCCCTCAGTATTTAAAATATTGCTACACTTTTCTTTTTAGGATGTATTTAAAAGTTTGTTACATTTTTCCTTTGATAAGTTTTCCCTTTAAAATACTCATTTACCCTTACTTTTTTCTACTTTTTATCTTCTCTTTCATACTTTTACACACTTTCTCCTACTTTTTCTACACTATTCATTACCACTACTACTCTATCCTTAAATAATGTGCCCAAAGCTATTGTATGTAGTGAACTTTTAAATACGGAGGGAGTATGATAGTTTAAATTTTTATACACAACCAATGTGGGACACCTTAAGAAATATTAGAGGAGTTTCCCTTAAATATGACTAAATACAAGCAAATTTTCACAAAAAAATGACCACTTTTACATTTTGAATAAAATGTGACTAATTAAATCATATACTCCGTGTATATTTGAAAAAAACATGTGCAAGATTTTCATGTTATTTCCTTATTTTCATGTTACTTGAATGTCAGTGCCACCGTGAAACATGTCACTCTGACATCCAAGAAAAAGATCAACTAATTAAACATAAAGTTAGTCATGTTTTTGGGAAAGGAAAAGTACTCAATGTTTTATGCTCCGTGTTTCACAAAACTATAGTACTCTCTCCTTTTTTAAATGTTTGTTATACTTTCTTTTTTGGATGTATTTAAAAGTTTATTACATGTTTCCTTTTTGGTAGGTTTTTTCCTTTAAAAAATACTCAATTACCCTTACTTTTTCCACTTTTAGCTTCTCTTTCATACTTTTTTACCTTCTCTCCTACTTTTTTACACTATTCATTATCCCTATTATTTCTCTCTTAAATGTCGTGCCCAAACCTAATGCAGAGAACTTTGAAATACAGAGGGAGTAATATTTTTGGGGAAAATAATATGACTTAAATATGATATTGGAAACATATTTCTTAGTATCCCTAATTTTCGATTATACTCATGCAGCACAAATAAAGGTTGCAATGTTGAATGGAGTTTCACTCGAAAACGAGGAAAAAGAGAGAATGAACAACATTATGCGGGTATCTATTTTGGTCCCTATTTAATCAATTACAGTGAAACACTCAGGAGCATTGTAATTAATAGACCTGTGTATTTATCTATGTGATTAACCGAATAACCGGTGTCCCTGGTTCTTGTTCCAGTCAAAGAGTGGTAGTAATAATTCTTGTGCGAGGTTTATATTTGCAAAATATTCAAGAAGAAAAAATCAGTTTGTTTTTCGAAAACAATTAAATGAGTGTTTTTGAAACAACTTCTGATTAAATTAAACACTTACAAATTAAAAGCTAGAAGCATGATATGTGAAAGGGTGCTTTAAATCATTTTAATTTTCTCTTTTTTAATGCACAAAAAAACACTTGTTTTAACAAAACACTACTAACTTTTATATTTCCAAAAGTACTTTTGGAATCACTTTGTAAATCACTTTAAAATTCAAAATCACTTTTATATTCAAAATGACTTTAAAATCACTTTCTTAAGAGAAACTCCAACAAGCACCATATATCTTCAACTCCAAAATGGTGTATTTGGCAAAAAAAATGCTCCAACAATGACACCAAACTTTACACCATTACACCAAAATGGGCGAGGGGATGGCTTTACGCCATATATGGCGTACGCCATTTGTAGCACCATTCTCTTTCTGTAATTTTTTTTCTTTCAAATGTGACCCAAAGTTTTGATTATTATAGTTTTGACCCATTTTTTAAACAACAAATTAGGATGTTTTACTTGGATTGAAATTTGTTAGTCCGGTCTAGTCTGGTTTGATTTGGTCTGGTCTGGTCTGAATTGATGTGGCCTGGTCTGATTTCTTTGTATTTTTATAACTACCCAAGTTTGGTCTAATCCGGTCTGATCTGATCTGAAACAAATTACAGTCCAAGTAAAAACATCCTTATACAACAACAAATTAATATTATTAATTTGATAAAAAAATATAATAACATTTAAATCACACAATATTATAAATAAAGTTTCAAATCCAAACAACATAATAACAGAATACAAATGGTACTTAAGAAATATTTTTGAAATATTGATTATTGTGTTTAATTTTATGTGGTTTTAGCTTGTATTTGTGAAATATTGATTATTGTGTTTTAATCAGTGAAATGCGTGAAAATACATATTAAAATGATGTATTTTAGTTTGTATGTGTGAAATAATGTGTGAAATGTCAAAATATTAAATGAGGGGCTAATGTATAAATATAAGATAGTTAGATACTTAAATAGAATAATGGTAAAAAGTAAGTAAAAAAATAAAAAGAGAATATTCCTTTTTGGTGATGAAAATGGTGTAAACTGTTGGAGATAAAATACTATTTGATGTGATGTTTACACCATTTTAGTGTAAAAAATGGTGTTAACTGTCGGAGATGGCCTAAAGTAGAAGCAATCACAAACATTCTCAAAGAAGTAATTGGTAAAGGAAAAAAAATTAAACATCATTTTATCAATGAATGTCAAAGATGCATCATTTTGGCCTTTTTTGTATATAACAATTTAATGCAAAGCGATTTCATTTTAGATTGACTACTAAACTAATACGGAGTAATAAAATAAATTAAAAACTTCTTGCAAAAAAAAAAATTAAAAAAATAAATAAATGAAAAACAGGATGGCATTGAAATGAAGCATGTCTACTATAATTGTATTGTAATTTGTAATGAATTACTTATGTCGTTATTTTCCTCTTTCATCCCAAAACGAAATTCCTGTTTCGAATTTCTAAATTTGAATAATAATAAAATTCTCTTTTTGTATATTTAAATTAGTAATGAAACCTACATATATAGTTACAAACTACAATCAATAATATTTCATATATGTATTAAATCTTTGTCATCTTTGAATTCTATGGTTAATCATATTCAACTTTGACCAAGTGTGTGTATATATATATATATATATATTGATATAAAATAATTATATCAAGAACTTATTCAACATTGACCGAGTATATATATATATATTGATATAAAATTTTAAGTCTTCAAATTTTAGTTTTATAAAAGTATAAATTTATATATAATAACTTCAAACTTATTAAAATTATATATGGTACCAATTTTATCACCATTGACATTAAAAATAAAAATCACAAGTTTTTAGGGACGAGTGTAATATTCTCAGGGGCAGACTTACGTTATAGTGAGGGTTAGCAAAGGCGAAACTTTGGTTGTGCATTCACTGAGTTTTTTAGTTTTTAACATAAATCATAACAAAATCATTTTATCCGCTAACTGGCTCACCACTTACTGCCTCATGAAGTTATGGATCCGCCCATCTAAGTTGGAAGCCCAAATTACATATACATATCTACATCTCCAATAACTTTTTATATAAATATACTACTCAAATACCTAAAATGAATACAAATAAGAAAGTATTTATGACTAAATAAGGTTTTATTTTCAAACATATTAATAAAATAAAACTTATTTATACAAATATGACTAATAGTTTTTTTTCGAAGAACGTACAATGACTAATAGTTATTACAATGTCGTAATGTCATGATAATTTAAGTTTAACAATTGAACATGAGTTACAATATTTCTATTACTACTCTAGTTAACAGTCACATTTTTGTACGTAAACATCTTTATCTTAGTCATAAATATGTAATCTGAAGAAAATTGTTAATGTACGAACTAAAAATTTTTCCCTGACCTCCGATGCTTAAGTCCGCCACTGAATATTCCACTACCAAAAAAAGTCGCCATTGGGTCGGATTTCGGCACAGATGGCTTCACAAAATTCCCAGACTATCGCTTTCGGCTCGGATTTGGCACGGAAACGAAATCCGACGCACCTGGCTCGTGCCAAATGCTTTGGCACGGATACCATCATCCGCCCCAACTCTTGGCTCGGCATTGGGCACGGAAGTTCCGAGAAAACAACATTGATTACTCCCGCAAAAGTTTGGCTCGGATGTAACTTGGCACGGATATTGGCCCGGAATACACCGGGTCGGGCAAATCTTTGCCCGTTTGTTGGCTCGGATAAGTTCGTGCCAAATATTTTACCAAATTTCATTCAGGTTTTTGGTACGGAAAATTTCCGTGCCACAATTAATTTAAAAAAAATGTACACCGTACATATGTACGGTATACCGTACATATGTACGGTGCACATTTTTTTTTTACAAATCATTATAAACAAAAAATTTAACTGGAATCATATAATACTGCAGTCCAAAAAGATATAGAGCAAATTATGAACCACACATGCAAACTATAGAGCAAATGAAAAAGCACAAATAAACAGAATATTATTATGTTACAGCACTCCAGGCAGATAAACCACTGCCAAAACAAAAGTAGAAATGGCAAATAAATTGCCATTAGATGTCCAGGAGCAGTACAGAAAGTTAAAGAGTTTGTTCATTACACAAATAGATCAGACAACCGCACTTCATTCGATTCATGTAGCCCATTCATATGGGCGGAGGTCGGGGTACGAAAAGGCGAGAAATCAGGTAGCGGGACAGAAGGGTTCGAGCTTCGCACTTGCTCCATGTACGCAGTAAACGCAGAAGTCATGTTCGCCATCTGAGTTTGAAACTGCTTTTCCTGCTGCGCCAAACGGGCTTCCAGCTGGTCCTTGATGAGGGAATCAATTTCCATTTGAGTCGGCCCCGATATCCGGCTGGTACATTCAAGGTCAGACATCGCTTCAGCTTCAGATCCCGTCCCAAACCGCCGGCCTTTGTATAGTGGGACCACCGCACAAAACAACTCAGAATCATCCTCTTCGTACGACTTCCCTTGCGATTCAGCCTGGGCTTTCATCTCATTGTATTTTTGCTGCACAATCAGAAGACAGGAGGTTACCAAGACATATACTCCTTATAGCAATATGAAAATCTGATATATATATATATATATATATATATATATATATATATATATATATATATATATATATATATATATATATATATATATAATTTACCTTCGTTGCAACTACACGTGCAGGGGGCTCGCCCGATTTCGGGACATAAACCTTGTCAAACACTTCAATCTTCAAGGGGGGCCTATTCAACTCCTTCGTCTACAAAATCAAAGTTAGGAGTTCATTAAAAGGTAAAATGCAGTTCATAATACTACAATACAGTTCAATTAAACTCACCAGCCTTTCAACATGCGTAGTCACCGGTATCCTGCCACCGCGATATTGTGATTCCTTCCCAGCTTTAGAGTTCCTATTCTTCTTTCCAGCATGGCTCTTTTTCTTAAAAGCATCAGAGGCCCAATATTCTTGCAACACCTTCCAATCTCCATCTCCAATCCAGTCCGGTTTCTTGTTTTCCCGCCTAGCTCTGCCAATATTTTTGCTCAACCATTCAGAGGCCCGAGACTTGAACTTCTTTTTCATTTTGGTATTAAAGCAGATATCCCACTCATACTTTCTCTAAAAACACAAAAAAGACTTAATCAACATCATGACTCACAATCTGTCAAATAAAAACTAAAAGTACTTATAGCATACCTGAAACAGTTTCCACCAACGGTTGCGTTGATCAGCGTCCGCATGCATATAAGACCGCCATGGCCCGTGGAAATTGTTAGTCAGGATTGAAATGATGTTGTTGAGTACAGTAGGATTGCTACATCATAAAAGCACACATAAGTAATGTATAGATAGGAATTTACTGTATACAAATTGCATAATGCTGTTTTACATTACCTTCTCATTTCAAATGGTGAAATAAAAGTCTTTTGCTGAACAGATTCATCGGGGATCGAAGAATCAAAACCACTTAAATGTTCATCAATAGGGTGTCGGGATTGGACAGACTCATGCGAATCACCTAGAGGAGAGTTCTGCTCATTCTGGACAATGGGTGAGCTACCTCTACCTCCACGACCTCCACGGGAGGAAGTAAACGAAGTGAATGAACCTCTACGGGCAGACATTCTATTGAAACGCATAGAAATATTATAGAAAGAGACCAGTGAAAAAATTAGGTTATAACCAAATAATATCAAAAAAATAATGAAATTCATTTGAAAAAATTAGGTTACACTAAGTAATATGAAGAAATTAGGTTATAACCAACTTAAAAATTATACTTACATTCGTATATATAATTACGAATTATAGAATTTATATCCTTCGTTTATAAATAATCCCTTCATAAATTTATAGATACTTTATAAATATATTGTAATAATATGATTATAATACTTCGTTTCTAAAAAAGTATTTATACAAAAATTTCATTTTAATACTTCGTGTAAAAAAATTATAAATACATTATATATACTAGTAACATATTTTAAGGTGCCTATAATACTACGCTTCTAATAAAAAATATAAACAATAAAGTATTTAAAAATACTTCGTTTCTAGATTATAATACTTCGTTTAAAAATTTATAAATACATTAGAAATACTAGTAACATATTTTAAGGTGACTATAATACTACGCTTTTCATAAAAAATATAAACAATAAAGTATTTAAAAATACTTTGTTTGTAGATTATAATAATTCGTGTAAAAATTTATAATTACATTATAAATACTAGTAACATATTCTAAGGTGCCTATAATCTACGCTTCTAATATAAAAAATATAAACAATAAAGTATTTAAAAATACTTCGTTTCTAGATTATAATACTTCGTTTATTATACATAACGAGTTTATTTAAAAATAACATATGTTTATAACAGTAAAGATGAAAAACCGTAAGTAATAAAGTATTTAAAAAAACATGACCTGCAAACAAAGAGAAGACGATGGCCGGCTGAAAGCGTCTGCAAGCGTCGCAGCGGTTTGAAAACACTACAAGCGTCGGAGTGGCTTGAAACGCGGCACCGTTCGGACGCGACTTGAAACAGAGGGGAGGCAGAGTAAGTAGTGACCGGAGAAGGTGGCCGGAGTAGGTGGCCGGAGTAGGTGGTGGCGGGGGTATGCGGAATGTACAGAGCGGAGATTGTGTCGAAAGGGGGGATGCTGAAGAATGGCTTAGGGTTTGCTCGAAATGCACTAAGGACAGTTTATAAACCTCCGGCGTTGGCTCGGATATATCCGTCGCAATAGGACCGCCAAAACCGCTCTAGACTCTTCCAGATTAGTGTTCGGTCTTGGCTGCGAGTTGGCTCGGCCAAATCCGTCCCAATTGCGCGAAAAAAAAAAACGAGCGGGGAAGTGAAATTTAAATTTTGAATTGGGTCGGCAGTATCCGTCGCATGTCAGTGCCAATCTGAAAAGTCGCCTGTAACGCTGTGCAGTCAGTAATTATTATGTCAGAGCGGGTTTGGCAGGGATTTGGCAGGGATTATTCCGTCCCTATTGCGTATATCGGATAGGAATTAAGGTTTTGAGGCGGAATTATCCCATCCAAATCAGTGCCAATGGTTCAGCTTCTACTATAAATATGGCTTCATATAATAGTGTAAAAATAGTTCCAAAGTGAAAAATAAAAAAAATCTTTATTATGGAAAAATCTGAAGGTACAAGTGATAAAAAAATATGGGGATGTGATTTTGATGAGTTGGGAAAAAAAATTGATAAGATAGGGGAAATACTTAAGTTAATGAAGCCTGTTGATGATGCTGCAGCAAAAAAAATTAATCATTTATGGAAAAGGGGAAGTGAAGTGACGGGTAAAAGTGAAGATACTGAAGTGAAGGCTAAAAGTGAAGATGATGGTAGGAAGGCACTATGAAGAATCAAATAAGTGTATCATTTTACTATGTACTGTTATTATCATTGTCATGTATCGTTTGCTTATGTAATTCGTATTATCGTGTATCGTTTGAGTTTTCTGTAATTTTAGTCTGTTTTGACTAAAATTAATGTAATAAAAACGTCTGCTTTTGGCGTAATAAAATTGGTTTGTGTTTTTTAATTGAAATTGTTTTTTCAACTTAGCCCAAGTAAAAACATGAACATTTGCTTAATAAAAATGTGCATTTAAACATTTTAATTTGATTAAATAGACGACAAATTATCTACCAAATTGCATTTTAAAATACTCAGAAACAGTCTAGACTAGAAATTGAATTATTCGGAAACATTCATGACAAGAAATAAAAATGTTGAAATAAAATTCTGTAATGAAACAATATTTGATAAAAATAAAACAATTCATTCTTCTTCATCTTCGGAGTCAATATGGTCAACGTACTCATCATCATCATCAGTATCTTCTGTTTGAAAGTTCCATTCTTCTTCTTCATATTGAGTTCCCTCGTCCGGACCATCATTGGCGTCGTTAGGGTCAAACTCTATTTCTGCTCCAGTACAATCATTCAAAAAAATATCCTCCTCAATAATGTCTGGAACTGGGGGTAGAAAAAACTCTTGTTGGTAAACATCAATGTCAATGTTTTTTTGTACCGCGTGAGAAACAACTTTTCTCGGTCTAATAGTGCATGCACTTACCCAGCCAGTGCGATTGATGCGTGTCGACGGATATTCCGCGTAATACACTTGGGCAGCCTGTTGAGCTAATATGAAAGGTTCATTTTTCAGATACACACGCCTGTGATTAACATCCACCAAGTTATGTTTGTGATCCTTTTTCACCCCCCTCACTGGATCCACCCAAGTGCATTTGAATAATACACACGATAACTTGTTGTGGCCAGTGAATTTCATTTCCAGTATTTCATCCACATATCCAAAAAAACTAGTCTCTGAATTGTCATAACTACAAGTCGACACGCTCACACCACTGTTCATAGTGGGTTTATTGTCTCCGTAAGCACGTGTATGATATTTGTAGCCATTGACAAAATATATAGACCAACACCTCACTAGTGTTTCAGGACCCCATGCTAATGACTCCAAGAAAGGATCAACGGGAGAATTTTCAGCTTCACGGAGTATCTGCAAATGTCATTTAGTTGTTCAGTAATGAATACTATAGAATTGATATTTGCAATTAAAAAACCTTATTGATTTACCGTAGTTTTGAACCATCCTGCAAATTCAGTGTCGATCGTCGCATCAATGACCTCATTGGAATAACCAGCTAGAGAAAGCATTTCTCTGTAATCACTGCATTTTTTTTATAAGAAAATGAAATGATTAGAGTGTTTGTTAGTGTGGGAAATAACTTATTACGATGTTCGCTAATATTGATTTACTTGTAATACGGAATAACTTCCGGGCAGTTCATTAGAATGTAAGTTTGTGCAATTCGAAACTCGTCTCCAACAACACGACGGTGTGTCCTTCTACCATATCCTTTGCCCGGATAGTTGAAGATGGAAACTATTTGCTCATACAATGCTGGATCAACATTATCATTTCTGACAGGCCTTTTTCGCTTAGTCATGATTTCTCTTTCAAAATAGAAGGAAGAGAATGTGGAAACTTCTTCTGTAAGGTATGCTTGGCATATAGATGCTCCAACGTGTGCTTTATTTGTCACCTTCTTTTTCAGTTCTCGCAAAAACCTAAGACATATTTTACCAAATATTAAAAGATTATTTTATATTAATATAAACAATATATGAAACCATTTACAAAATGCATAATAATTTTACCTCTCAAATCCATACATCCATCTATACCAACTTGGCCCTGCGGTCATTGCTTCAAATGGAAGATGGACAAGTAGATGCTCCATTCCATCAAAAAAGGATGGAGGAAAGATCTTTTCCAAATTGCACAAAATAGTGGGAACGTTACGGTGAAGATCCTGAATTGCTTGTATGTCTAGCACCGGTGAGCATAACAACTGAAATAATTGAGAAACATCACAAATACATGCCCACACATTATTCGGGAGATTTTCCTTCAATGCAATGGGAAGGAGGCGTTGCATCATGACATGGCAGTCATGACTCTTCATGCTCTTCATTACCAAATTTTCCAAGTCAACACATCTATTAAAGTTAGAGGTGTATCCATCAGGGAATCGTAGCTTGATGAGCCACTCCAATATGCATTTCTTCTGCTCGTCCGTGAGCTGATAAACTGCTTTCTTGAATGGACCGACATACTCAGGGCCCATAGCAATTTCCGGTCTATCACAAAACAGAGCTACATCTTTCCTTGATGAAAGGCCATCCTTAGTCTTTCCCTTGAAGTTCATAACCGTGTTAAAAATGTTATCGAAAACATTTTTCTCAATATGCATTACATCCAAATTATGCCTAATCAGAAGATCCTTCCAATATGGCAAATCCCAGAAAATGCTTTTCTTTGTCCACTTATGATAAATGCGATATCCATCTGGATACTCAAGAGGCTCGTCAATGGCAGAAGGGATGTTTCGAACACGATCATAAATCTGATATCCTGTTAAAATCGGAGGTGGGGGATCGCGGTCCTTGCGACCCTTGATGAATGACTTCTTATCCTTTCGATACGGATGATTAGGTGGGAGAAATTTCCTGTGACAGTCAAAGTAGGATGCTTTTCGACTATTCTTTAGCCAAAATGCATTTGATTTTTCCATACAAACAGGGCAACCCATAAGGCCTGCAGTACTCCATCCAGAGAGCATTCCGTATGCTGGAAAATCACTAATGGTCCACATAATCGCAGCTTTCATATTAAATATTTGATCCCTCGAAACATCATATGTAGGAACACCAACTTCCCACAAATGTTTCAGCTCTTCGATCAATGGCTGCAAATACACATCAATTCTTTTTTTTGGATTACCAGGACCTGGACACATTAATGATAAAAACATAAAATGATTTTTCATACACATGTCCGGGGGCAAGTTATATGGGGTAATGATAATTGGCCAACATGAGAACTGGCCTCCAAATTGACCGTACGGAGCAAAACCATCAGAACATAACCCAAGTCTAACGTTGCGCGGCTCAAAAGCAAATTGAGGATAACACCTGTCAAAATGCTTCCACGCTGCAGAATCTGATGGATGACACATTAACCCTTCTTCAGTGTCATGCTCTACATGCCACGTCATGTGTTTCGCGGTAGCGCTTGAGGCATATAATCTCTGCAAACGTGGTGCTAAAGGAAGATATATCAACTTCGATGCTGCAGATCTTTTTCGGGCTTTTCGAGTCATACCTGATATGGGCTTGTACCTATCCGCATTACAAAACTTACACCGGATAAGTGTTTCGTCATTCTTCCAAAACAACATACATCCTCCAGGGCATGCATGGATTTTGATCATAGGGAGACCTAACTCAGAAACAAACTTTTTCATGTTGTAGTAACTATCGGGAAGACAATGATCACGAGGTAGCATACTACCAACTGAGTCTAATATTTTGGACATGCAGCTTTCAGAGAGGTTATATTCTGACTTTATGTTAAGAAATTCAGAAACTGCTGATAATTGTGAATGATCATAACAGTCAGAATATAAAGGCTGGTCCGCACTTTTGAGCACTTCTTGAAATCTAGTGCCTAACACATCCACATCATAATATGATGAGCTTGGTCCTTCGTTCACATTATTGTGTGCGTTGAAATCACTATCCGTGTGGATATTTGGAAACGTAGAAGGACCAGTCAAATCATAAAGCATTTTTTGCTCCCATACCATTTCTTCATAATTTCCCCAATTAGCCATCTCATCGGGAACATACCTCGACATTCCTACGTTTTGCGGCAACAACTCTGGCTCAATTGGTTCTCCTTGAGCAGTCCAGTTGTAATAGTTTTCAACAAAACCATGCGTATATAAATGCCAACAAACCTCACCACCTTCAACAAATTTGTTATTTTTACACTCTGTACAAGGACATCTTATTTTACTTCCATCAGCATAGCGTGTTTGCCCTTGTGCAAATCTAATAAATTCGTTAACTCCATTTTCAAACACTTTTTTCAATCCTCTACCATTTTCCTTGTAGCGGTCATACATCCAACTTCTAGTTTGTCTATTCATTGTGCCTGAATATTAAAAAATATCTTAATGAACTTTTTTTGACAGTATATCTTAACGAAATTAATTTATTAAATTTATAAGCTAATGTCTCACGTTTTAAAGCTAACACTTGAATTCAATCAAAATAATTAAGACAAATTAAATAATACTGATAACAACTCGTAATATGGATATGATCAAATTAATTTAAAAGCACAATGGTCGAAATTTACATACCTTAAGTACAACGATGATACCAAGTAATATAAAGTAAGAAATCCAAATAGAAAACCTCCAGATATCAAGTAATATAACTTCCAACTTCTATCCAGAATTCATCATACACAAAGATCAAAGACATCATTTTCTGAGATGTAGTTTGCTTCACATCCCAACTTGGTATATTTGTAGATTTAGTAGGCACAGAAATTGGGACGGAAATATCCCAGCCAAAATGTGCAGAACGGTCCTCATTGTCTCGGATTTTGGCACGACACTAAGTTTCTATGAAATCTGCTCAAGGCGACGGTTTTTGGGACGGCCAAATTCCGGTCAAACTAACGGTTACATTTTGGCACTACGTTTGGGACGGATAACAGCCAGCCAACGTAACGGCTAGAATTTGGCACGGAACTAGGGACGGACATTAGAACAACTAAATATGATACGGGGTTGTCTCGGCGTTTGGCACGGAAAAGCTTGGGACGGATATATGCCGGGCCAATTTAAAAAAAAAACGTCTGTCCTTGGGACGGATACTCTTCCCTGCCATATTGTCACGGCATTTGGCACGTATATTAACACAGGCCAACTACGTGACAATTTTTTCGGTCTTGTCACGGATGTAGGGTCGCAAATTCCGAGCCAAACATATTGGCACGGATAATTCCGTGCCATTGTCGTAATAAATCGACTTTTCCAGCATTCCGTTCCCAAATCCGCGCCAAAATTGTCTCGGATATTTTCCGTGCCAAAATCCGTATCTATAACGAGTTTTTTTGGTAGTGTTCTTAACTATCCTATATAACAAATACTACAATATTATGATATACTCCGTACAAAATAAGTGGTACAAATGAAGTTGAGTTGACTGCACGAATATTACTCGTAAATGATAACTTCTGTTTTGTAGGAATTATCAGCTTTAACGCAGAAATTTGGAGACAATCTCTTAAAAGCCACTAACAAGTATGAGCGTTTAATAACTGATAAGAAAGAAATTGAGGGGTTACCAGGTCTAGTTCTTGATTTGGCGGCAGAGAAAGCAGTTTCTAGGGTAATTAACAAAATGCCACCTAGCTATGAGTGCTTTATATATATTTCCCCGTTCTTTCTCTTTTAATTGCAACATTGGACTTTCTACACTATTCACATATTCTACTTTGACTATATTTTATTAATTAATGTATTATAAATTAAATAAAAAATATTGTTAAATTCTTCTCTTTCTAAATTTTCAAAATATGAATGTTTAATTTTTTTTACTTATAATGAATGAAAGATATCAATGGTCAAACTTATGTGTTGGCAAACGTGAAATGTTGACTGTTGCAATTAAAAGGGAACGGAGGAAGTAAGTGCAACAGTCAACATTTCACACTTGCCGAGACACAACTTTGATCATTAATATATATAATTCTCTATTAGTAAAAAAAATTTAAAAATTCAGATTTTGAAAATTTACAACGAGACAAATTTAATAATATTTTTTTCAAAAAAATGTATTAATAAATCAATAAATAAAATGTAGTCAAAGTAGAACAGGTGAATAGTGTAAAATTTAGCATGTTGCACTAATTTAAGAACGGAGGTAGTATACTACGTATATACGATATAGTATATAACATGATATAGAGAAATGATCATGTCAGGCCGGCCTGACCGGGAGAGCCGTCCGGACGAGACCTTTTGATGACCTTCGCGGTAGAATTTTTTGATAAATTTTTTGAGCATGTTCCTCATCAAGTCTAGTTTGTTCATACCAAATTTCAGCTCAAAATTCGATCGGGAAGGCATCAAATCATTTTTTGAAGCTGACTGCGTCAAAATATACATATAAAAATGCAGTCAACTTCAAAAAATGGTTTGAATGCCTTTCCGATCGAATTTTGATTTAGTATGGACAAACTAGACTTGATGAGAAACATGCTCAAAAAATTTCATCAAAAAATTTCACCGGGAAGGTGCCCAAACAGGCTCGGCCGGACGGAGGATTCTGTCAGGCCGGCCTGACAAGAAGAGTTCTCTATAACATGATATTCGATATATATATTTTTTCATTTCTTTAATCTTGCTTTCTTAATTAACAGGGACATGAAAATGCTACTGCTAAATATGGGCCTTGGATTATTACATTAGACGCCCCTAGTTATAAGTCGGTAATGCAACATGCAAAAAATCGCATGTTACGCGAAGAGCTTTACCGTGCCTACCTAACTCGTGCTTCAAGTGGAGATGATGATAACACCGCAATTATTGAACAAATTCTAAAGCTTAGGTTGGAGAAGGCTAAGCTTCTTGGATATAATAACTATATGGAGGTATTTATATATACTCCGTATGTGATGACCTCTTTTCATATTTTATATATGGTCAGTACAATATATTACTAGTATTATACTAATATAATAGGTTAGCATGGCTAGTAAAATGGCAACTCTTGATCAAGCACAAAAACTCCTTCAAACACTTCGCAATGCATATTGGGATCTTGCCGTTACAGGTACGTACGTAGTTCCTAAGGGGTGAAGGAAACTATTACTACACCTCCCTTAAAACTTTGAAATATTTGATCTTCACTTTAGCCCATTATTTTTATTAATACGTACAATTAGTATAATTTTATGAACGCTATATGTTACTCTGTATATACTTTTATCAAACTATTTTAATACAACTTTTTCCTCATCATTTAATATTAAAAACACTATTGCATTTTGCATCTCATTTTCAAAATCATTAATTTGTAGCTCAAATATTGCGAAGAATTGGGTGTGAAATCAAATGATTTTTTAGTGAATTGAGATACATATATTAATGATTTTGAAAATATAGTGCAAAGTCAAGTATCACCCAAAAAATTGGAATGCAAAGTCAAGTTCTCTCTATAAATAATTTCCCACATAAGCACATCATTGATCAAATTTTAATAAAACTATGAACACAAAATATTAACATGGCAAATTTTTTTTATAGAGACGAGGGGAAATATATTTCTTCTAAACAATTTTCAGGTCCATAAATTTCATGTAGTCAAGCTCGTTTGATCAAATTGAGGATTTATATGCAGGCCATTGTTGGGCTAGTTCAACCTGTTATATGTAACCGGACCCACCAATTTTGAGACCCCAAATTGTTTTAATGGTAGTATTACAATATAGTGAGAAATGATACGGTCAGGCGCCCACGCGTGATTAGATGTCCCGTATGACCAATTCCTTTGAAGGGCTTTTGGATCCATTTTTTGATGAAATTTTGTGAGAATATTTCTCATGAAATTTAGATTATATACACAAAATTTGGACTTAAAATTCAATCAAAAAGTCAATTAAATAAATAATAATAACCAAGCAGGACCTCAAATTTGCATTTGGAATCGCAACCTCAAAATTCATTAGATAGTCCTGACAGAAGTGAGTTTTTTTTATCTATAATATGTATTTAACTATTAATTTTCCCTCGTCCTTAATAAATCAGATGTGCAAGACCTTAAAGACTTTTGCAAACATCAAGGTGCTCCGGAAGCTAATGATTTCAACCATTGGGACATCATGTTTTGGACTGAGAGGCTTCGTGAATCCAAGTATGAATTATACGAGGTGTGATATTCTAAATCTATACGTAGTATTATATTTTTATAATTTACACCTGTAAAGAGTAACTAATTAAGTTGATCTATTTATGAAAGATCTTGACGTTTACTTTGCAGCAATACTTTTTTTTCTCGAAATTGCTCTAGGTCGTAGGACTAAAAATTCCTTAAAATACACAAATAGGACTACTACATTTTAAACTTTTCCAAATAGCACTAAACATTTATTTCTACCATAAATACCCCTAAGGGTATTAATTCATAATAAAATGTTTTAATTCAACATAAAATCTTTAAAAATAATAAAAAATCGTAAAAAATATTAAAAAATCGTGGAAAATAATAATTACAGATAAAAAAAATTAAAAAATGACATTTTTCTTAAAACAACAATAAAAATAGTAAAAACTCATAAAGAATATGGATACCTTTGCCACCGCCTCCCAGCAACGCCACCTTCGATTGGTGAAAATTTTGCCTTTTTTGTAAAAAAAAATGCCAAAAAAAAATGCATTATTACTTTTCATAACGCCAAAATTCTCATTGAATCTGCCATTATTATCGAATTACTAAAAATGTTGGCAGATTTCTAACCGATGATGGGAGCTGGTGGTGCTGGAGTGGCATAGGTGGTGGCGTTTTTTATGTTTAATGTTTTTGCTCTTTTAATTTTTTAAAAACAAAAAAATATATACATTTATTATACATTTTTTATAATTTTTTAACGTTTTTAATTTTATTTTACGTTTTTTATTATTTTTTATGATTTTATTATTAATTAACACATTTCAAAAGTTACAAGGTATATTTGTATTCTTTGGCCACTTTTTTGTCCTATTTAGGTAATTCACCCATTTTTTTCTCCACAATCAACTTTCCAAAACGGAAAAGAAAGAATAGACAAGATCGATGTTAGACACGAATGACAAAGACTACATAAACATATCTTATAAAGTCATTATCTTTCGGAAATGTGGGCCATGTTAACTACATTGGTCCCAAGTTGAAGAATCAATTGAATGATGCATCTTCACATCAACGATTTATTAGTAAAATATACTCATCTTAAATCTTGAACCATTTGAAATTAACAGGGACCGAGCCAGGACCAAAATTGAGGGTGCAATAAAGACCCACAATATATAATTGTATAAATCCCATTGAGACAACCATTTGAATAAAAAAAGGGGGGGGGGGGGGAGATAGCATGGGGTGTTGGTCATGGGAAAATGACAAAGAATGAAAGGGTACATTCATGTCAAAGCTAAGATCGATGCAGGCATGTAGTCCATAAATTATATTTAGTGGATTAGTATAGGTCTACCAGGCCGCTTAGTGCTGTTTGTCATGATACAAGAGAGTTTCCAGGAATTTAGATTTGGATCAGCTGAAATGAGATCTGATCATACTGTGCTTAAGACAATTGAGGGGTGTGTTAAGTAATGAAAACGAAAAAGTATATACTAATAAAAAAAATTAAGAAGAAACTGATTTGATCTGAACTTCCATAATCCACCATAATTCTAACATGACTCTGCCCTACGTCGTGATCGTAGGAGATGATACATCCCAGAGGAAACCAACATAATACTACCTCCGTTCTCTTTTAGTTGCAACGTTGGACTTTTTGCACTATTCACATATTCTACTTTGACTACATTTTATTAATTGATGTATAATAAATTAAATTTTTAAAAAATATTGTTAAATTCTTCTCATTCTAAATTTTCAAAATATGAATTTTTTATTTTTTTTACTAATACGGAATGAAAGATATTAATGGTCAAACTTGTGCGTTGGCAAACGTGAAATGTTGACTGTTGCAATAAAAAAGGAACGGAGGAAGTATATAGCTAAAAAACCCAAACCTACTCATCAATATAATTATAAATGCATCAACATCACAACATGTCAACATACTTCGTATATACTTATAATTAAGTGGATTGCACATAAGCCGAAAGTGAAAAATTCCCACTTCAATTCTCATGTTACGTACGTACTTCTTTTATTGGAATAGTTCAATAGGTGATTATCAATTAAAAGCTTGTTAGTTTGCACAAATAGGATCAATTATACCCTTGTTGCTATTGTAAGCTTGATAGGACTAATTACGTGTGGCCTGGGTTGGACAAATATACCCTTGTTCCTAGCTATTGAAATGTTTTAATTCATAATAAAATAATAAAAATTAATAAAAATTCGTAAACATACTAAAAAATTAATAAAAATATTCAAATTATAATAATTTAAAAAATTAAAACAACTAAAATTATTAAAAATAAAAAATAAAAAACGCAAAAAAAAACTCATCGCCGCCTCTGCCCCCCAGCACCACCACCTCCAGTCACCAGGGGGATTATGCAAAATTCATAATGAATGTCATATTTACGGCAGAAAACAATGACAATGTTGGCATTCTCAAAGAGTAATATGCCATTTTTTGGCATTTAAAAAAATGGTAGTTTTTAGAAAAAAATGACATTTTTTACACCAGTCGGAGGTGGTTGTGCAGGGAGGCAGTACCACCACCTCCGGTCACCGGGAGAAAAAATGCCACTTGCATTGGGAATGCCATATTTTTGGCAGAAATAAGGAAAATGTTGGCATTCTCAAAGAGTAATATGCCATTTGTTGGCATTTTAAAAAAAATGATAGGTTTTTGAAAAAATGGTATTTTTTACACCGGCCGGAGATGGTGGTGCATGGAGGCAAAACAGGCGGTGGGAGAGGCATCCATATATATTTTTAATTTTTTATGGAGTTTTACTGTTTTTATTTATTTAAAAAAAAAATGAAACAACTTTTTTTTAATTTTTATTTTATAAATATTTTTCTGATTTTTTATTATTTATCTACGATTTTTTGAAATTTGTTCGAATTTATTTTGAATTAAATATATATACTACGTACTAGTATAATATATGTGTGATATATATAGTTGGGCTTTGACAAAATTTAATTTACAGGAACAACTGCGTGAATACTTTTCATTACCCATGGTCTTGGATGGTCTTTTTGAGCTTGCGAATAAGCTTTTTGGTATACATGTTAAAGCTGCTGATGGTTCAACTCCGGTAAACTTCAACTCATTTCTTGTCAGCGTACACAACATAAATGGAGTGTATGTGGCGGTTGATATATTTACTCATATCATTGATTAGGTCTGGCACAAGGATGTGCGTTGCTTCAGTGTGTGGGAGGGTTCCTCTTCATCACCAGACAGTACTCCCATCGCACATTTTTACTTAGACCCATACTCACGTCCATCTGATAAGCGTGGAGGCTCATGGATGTACCCCGTTGTTGGTCGAAGCCGAGCTTTGCCTGCTGATTGTGCAGGGTTGCCTGTGGCATATATTCTTTGTAATCTGATGCCGCCTATTCGGGACAAACCCTGTCTCATGACATTGGGAGACGTAAGCATGCATTCTTATAGCCCGTTTAGTAACCCTAAAATTATGATCGATTCTACTGAAGTTTAAGAAGTTCTGAATGAAGTGGCTGCGTTGTCTGATTATTCTCATCCGTTACGAAAACTTTATATTGAAGATACCACATGCATTTTATTAATAAAACCACGAAAAGTCATATGAAATGTAACTTTAACCTGATTACTTATTTTAGTTATTACACGAATTGAAAAGTTCAATGCTTGGTGAAAAAACGAGATTATCATCTGAGCTCTTACTTAGATTGTTTAAATTTTTAGCCTCAATCACACATTTAGTGTAGATAGTATAGTGCTTTTAATTTGTTGAATAGTTTTTGTGACATTTGTAGGTTATTGTTGTTTCGTTCTCATGTAGGTTAAAACGCTCTTCCATGAGTTTGGCCATGTTCTTCAGCATACGCTGACTACGCAGGATGAAGGACTGGTTGCTGGTATGAAGGGCATAGAAATGGATGCTATAGAATTACCATCTCAATTTATGGAAAATTGGTGCTACCACAGGTTTTTATTTGGTTTTTTGTTGTCTTTAATTTGTACGGAATATGTTGGATGATCTCCTAGAATCTAATTACACAGATGAAACACTCGCACACTATGTAACATCAATGAACACAGTAGGAGATTCACACCAAACTTTCTCGTTTGATTAGTACTTTTATCTTGGAGGAAAAACCCAGTACATGGATCAGAAAAAACCTCCAACCCCACCTCCTATATAATACAACTCGAGAATGGGGCAATGCAGTTGAGGAAAAATAGCAACCACGACTCCTATATGCATGCATGACCCTTTGACATGTTCACACACATGCACACGTCAACATTAGGGTATTATTTTATAACTAAATGCAACTAAATGGATGTGAATGACTTAAATAGACATACTGACTTAAAACAAGTTTAAAAACAAAACGTTGACCAACATACACCCCCCTTAAACTTGTTTTCCTTTGCTCCTCAGTTCTTGGTATTCATCAGTCAAATCTTGTTTCTTAACTCAACGAACCTTTGCCTTCCAAGTGGTTTGGTCAATATATCTGCCAACTGAGTTTCCGTCTTGGTATATTCAAGCTGTATATCTCCCCTTTCCACACATTCTCGAATGAAATGAAAACGTGTATCAATATGTTTACTTCTTTCATGGAAAACTGGGTTCTTAGCCAAAGCTATGGCAGACTTGTTATCAATCTTCAGAGTTGGTTTCTCACTTACTTGTCCTAGCAAACTTTCCAACAATTTCATGAGCCAAATGCCTTGACAAGCACCTCCAGTACATGCAATGTACTCAGCCTCACATGATGAAAGAGCCACTATTCTTTGTTTTTGGGACACCCATGTGATAGGACTATCTCCCAAGAAGTATGGTATTCCAGTAGTGCTCTTTCTATCATCCACATCTCCTGCTAAGTCACTATCACAGTATCCTATCAGATTTTGTTTCCCTTGCCCCCTTTTAAACACACAACCAAGCTCAGTTGTAGCCTTCACATATCTCAATATTTGTTTGACAGCATTCATATGTGAAGTAGAGGGTGATTCCATGTACCTGCTCACAATTCCAACTGAATATGCAAGGTCAGGTCTTGTATTGACAAGGTACCTTAGGCTCCCAATGATGCTTCTATACAGGGTTGGATCCACAGTTAGTTCCCCATCAAATCTGCTCAACTTGCTCCTTGGTTCCATGGGAATACAACATGGATTGCATCCTGACATTCCCATTTTCTCCAGTGTCTTCTTAGCATAGCTTGTTTGGCACAAGCTGATGGTCTCCTTGCTTTGCTTTACTTCTATGCCCAAGTAGTAACATAGAAGTCCCAAATCAGTCATTTCAAACTGTTTCATCATCTCCTTCTTGAAATCAGTTATGAGTATTGTGCATGATCCTGTGAGAATTATGTCATCAACATACACACCTAGAATGATGACATGCTCTTATGTTCTCCTCATGTATACAGCATATTCATATATGCATTTCTTGAAACCCAATGATTTCAGACATTGATCAAGTTTCTCATTCCAAGCTCTAGGAGCTTGTTTTAGTCCATACAAAGCTTTGTGCAATTTCAGTACTTTGTTTGGATTCTCTTGATCAATGAATCCTTCTGGCTGCATAACATACACTTCCTCTCTCAGTTCTCCATTTAGGAGTGCTGTTTTTACATCCATGTGATGAACTTTCCACTCTTTGTGTGCTGCAAGAGCTAATAGAATTCTGATAGTCTCTATTCTTGCTACAGGTGCAAATACTTCAGTATAATCCACTCCATATCTCTGTATATACCCTTTTTCCACCAATCTGGCCTTATATTTTATAATATTGCCTTCTGGATTCTTCTTGAGCTTGAAAATCCATTTCAAGCCTATGGCTTTGTGCTTATTTGGTAAGTCTGCCAGTTCCCAAGTTCCATTTTTCTGGATGGAATCAATTTCAAGAGCCATTGCCTGCCTCCACTCCTCATGACCTGCAGCTTCAGTGTAACCAGTTGGTTCCTCAATGGAAAGAAAACACATGCTTACCTCCTCATTTACATCCCTGGTTGCATCATAGATCTCTTGCAATGATCTGAAGTGCAGGGGTGTATCACTTGAGTCAGTGCTAGTATGGGATCTGATGTCCCCATAGGTGTGTCATGTGTAAAAGACACATCATCCCCATTTTCATCTCCTGAGTTTGATGTAGAGTGATCATCTTCATTTCTTTGCTCCTTTCTATTTACCTTAGCTGTAAACCAGTCTCTTACTTTTTCATGTCTTCCAGTTTTGCTCTCCCAATTCCACCCTTTGTCCTCTTCAAATTTTACATCTCTACTTATCAGAATTTTCTCCTTGACTGGGTCCAGAAGTCTGTAAGCCTTGGACCCTTCCTCATATCTAAGCATGACAACCTTAATGCTTCTATCAGCTAGCTTGCTAAGGTGGGATTTTACAATCTCAACATGTGTGATACACCCAAATACACGTAGATGTTGTATATTTGGGGTTCTTCCATACCAAGCTTGATAGGGTGTCATCTCTTCCACACTCTTGGTTGGAGCCCTATTCAACAAATACACTGAGATATGGACTCCCTCGCCCCAGTAACTTGCAGGCATGCACTTGCTCTTCATAAGATTTCTTGTCATCTCCATGACAGTTTGATTCCTTCTCTCCACCACTCCATTTTGATGGGGTGAATATGGTGCAGTTAGTTGTCTTGTTATTCCTTCTTTCTCACAAAAATCCCTGAAATCTTGAGAGTTGAATTCACCTCCTCTATCAGTCCTCAAGCACTTCAATTTTTTTTCAGCATCATTCTCCATCTTCAGCCTTAGTTTCCTGAACACTTCAAGTGCATTACTTTTATGTTTCAGTAGTGAGACCCACATGAAACGTGATAGATCATCTACCAAAAGCATAAAGTAACTACTTCCTCCTGCTGTGGGTGGTGAAATTGGTCCACATAAGTCTCCATGTACCAATTCTAGTTTCTCTTTAGCTCTAAAGGCTGCCTTCTGAGAAAAAGAAGTTCTGTGTTGCTTTCCTACCATGCATCCATCACAGACTTGGTTGCTTTGAGTAATTTCTGGCATGCCCTCTACCATTTTAAGATTTGTGAGCTTCTTCAAGGCCTGAAAGTTAAGATGTCCATATCTAGCATGCCAAAGCCAACTTTGATTCTCAATGCTAGTCAACAAGCATACCTTCTCAGCAATTTTCATATTCACTATGAACAGCTTGTTATGTCTTCTTTTCACTTTAATCATGAGCCTGTTTGACTCATCATAGATCTTTAATGTCCCTTCTTTTATGACAACTTGACTACCAGATTCATCCAGTTGTCCAAGGCTTATGATGTTACTTCTCAGCTTTGGTATGAAGTATACATGGTTCAGGATCATATGCTCACCAGTTTTACATTGAAATAATACTGACCCAAGACCTTGTATATGTATCATAGAATTATCTCCAAACCTCACCTTGCCATGAATTGAAGTGTCAAGTTCTGAGAAGTAATTCATGTTACCTGTCATGTGATTACTTGCTCCAGTATCCAAATACCACCAATATTCTGACCCGCCTTCTTTAACTTCGTCAAGCACTCTGCCCTGACCTAGTGAGTTATGTGATTGTGTCAACTCACATACTTCCACCATCATCAATGCAGCTTGTTCTGATTCCTCTTCTTCTTCCAAGTGAGCCTCACCTTCTTGATCATTAGATTCACATTCATATGCAAAATGCCCCAATTTTACACAGGCATAGCATTTAAGCTTTGCCTTGTCAAATTTCTTCTTCTGCTTTTTCTCCTCTCTCTCCCCATGTGAACCTGCACTCCTTCTTCCTCTCCCACGACCTCTACCTCTTCCTCTTGATGTGGTTTGGTCTCTACTACTCTTGGGTTGTGGTTTGGTATTTGCTCTAGCCTCCCATTCTGCCCTGGTTAGCAGGACAGTTTCTTCTTCTCCTATATGAATGCTTTTCATCCTTTCTTCATGAGATTTGAAGGATCCTATGATCTCTTCTGAGGTCTTGATCTTGAGGTCACCAAATTCCTCAATTGCTGATGCAATTTGTAACAGCTTAGGTGGTGGTGCTCTCAGGAGTTTCTTTACAACCTTCTCTTCTTCAACAACATTTCCAAGCCCTCTAATCTTGGTGATGACCATCTGAAGTCTCCCTGCAAACTCATCAACATTGTCAGTGTCCTTCTTTTTCATCAAACTCCCTCCATAGTGCTTGAGTCCTGACTTCCTTGACTCTCTCAGCACCAAGGTTCATTGTTCTCAGCATGGCCCATGCCTCCTTAGCAGTCAGTTTAGCTCCCAACTGCAGCAAGGTATCTTCTCCTATCCCTTGATAAATAGCTGCTAGAGCCATTTTGTCTCTTCTATTATTAACAGGTTCAGATGACTCCACTGCATCCCACACTCCTTGGGCTGTCATGAAGACCTCCATCTTGATAGCCCATGCCGCATAATTACTCCTTGTCAGCATCGGGTATTTGAGTGAGACTGAACCTTCCTTGTCTTGAATCTTCATGCTATCATCTCCATGATGTGTATCTCCTATATTCCCATCTTCACTCTCAGATGAGGTAGAACTCATGATCGGTTAACCAAAAGCTCTGATACCAAGTGTTGGATTATCTCCTAGAATCTAATTACACAGATGAAACACTCGCACACTATGTAACATCAATGAACACAGTAGGAGATTCACACCAAACTTTCTCGTGTGATTAATACTTTTATCTTGGAGGAAAAACCCAGTACATGGATCAGAAAAAACCTCCAACCCCACCTCCTATATAATACAACTTGAGAATGGGGCAATGCAGTTGAGGAAAAATAGCAACCACTACTCCTATATGCATGCATGACCCTTTGACACAGTGGCGGACCTAGCATCTAATGTTTGGGTGTTCAAAATTACACATTTTCTCTTTAAAATAATAACCAATAAATTATAACACTAATTCAAACATATATGTTCCTACTGTTTTTATATTTTAGGGTGTCCATATGAACACCTTTGCATTAAAGAGATCCGCCCCTGCTTTGACATGTTCACACACATGCACACGTCAACATTAGGGTATTATTTTATAACTAAATGCAACTAAATGAATGTGAATGACTTAAATAGACATACTGACTTAAAACAAGTTTAAAAACAAAACGTTGACCAACAGAATATCTAATTAATAACAATTAACAACTTCATTTCACGATTTTAATCTTTTACGTATTCTTTTTTATAGGTGTCAGCTAGGCATTCTTTTGTAACCAATTTGTAAAGTAATACGTAGTTCGAAGTAATTGCGTGTTTTGTCCCTTTTTTTTTTCCTTTTTCCCCATTTAGGGGGTGGTGGGTTTATTCTTTTAGAGAATGCTTCAATTATAGTTTTTTTTTGGAAGATTCAATTATAGTTAAATAAACAAATAATTAAATGAGGTGAATAAATTGGATTATTTATGTTTATCATAAAATTGGTCTTATTAATAGAATAAAGTATTTCAAATATACCAAGTATATTCTTTAGACCGAATGCTTCCCGTTATATTTTTTGTATTTTAAACTTGAAAACTCATGGTCCACTGGTCCAAATCGTCCAGAAAGAAAAAGGAAATGATTCGGTGTAATAGAGAATTTTGGAAAACAAAGTAACAACATGGATGGGGACTTATAGTATTCTACGGCGCGGAGTATTTCTCAAAAGTTGAAATGCATGAGAGTTCGCAGTAAAAATTAGAGTTAATTATGACTAAAAGCTAGCTGGTCAGTTTGCACAAACAGGATCAAAAAATAAATTATGTTTCAATTCATAAGATTAATTATGTGTATGTTGGACAAATATACGCTTATAGCTAGTGAAATGTTTTGATTCATAATAAAATAATAAAACATAATAAAAATTCGTAAAAAGTACTAAAAACTTAATAAAATTATTTAAAAATAATATTAAAAAAATCACTGCCACCCCAGCATCACCACCTCCGGTCACTGGGGGAAAAAGGCCGCATGCATTAGGAATGTCATTTTTTTTAAACACCAAAGTGCAATTTCATTATATAGTCGAAGTTTGGAATGTCAATAGTCCTACAAAACAGTCGTAACTGAAACCAAAGCCGGTGATAGGGGGAGTTACCCTAGGCAAGTGCCTAGGGCCTCCATATTTTTAGGGCCTCAAATTTTTTAGAAATGCTATTTATATATATTTATATTTATGTGTGTTATTTGAGAGATGATTGTATTCCTTCGTAATCCCAACTGCATTCTTAAATTAGGATGTCAATCAATTATTTTATAGTGGCATCCATCATTTGATTTTAAATACTACCTCCGTTCTTAAATAAGTGCAACAATTAACATTTCACAATTGCCGAGGCACAACTTTGACCATTAATATATATAACTCTCTATTAGTAAAAAAACAGATTTTGAAAATTTACAATGAGACAAATTTAGTAATATTTTTTTCAAAAATATATATTAATACATCAATAAATAAAATGTAGTCAAAGTAGAACATGTGAATAGTGTAAAATTTGCAATGTTGCACTTATTTAAGAACGGAGGTAGTATGTGTGAACACAAATTTAAAGTTCGGAATCGAATCATTGATCATTTCTCTCTATTACTCCGTATTTAGTTTCAATTTTTAGAGTATGTATTCTTTGTATTTTAGTCTTTATTATATTAGCCTTATTGATCATTGACATTAACTTTGAAAATTCACACATTCTCATACAAAAAAGTATGTAGTACGGAGTATATAATATGAAAATGATATATTTTTAGCCTATAATTATGTTCAATCTAGACTCCAAAGATCTTGATTGTATACCTATGGTAATGCTCTGTTTTAGTAATAGTTTATTAAACTAACAAATCTATGTACTACTTCGTATTTTATTCACTTTAGGATATCAATTCTTAATTAAATTTTAATTTGACAACTTTATCTTTATTATTGATTGATACAGAAATGTTAACTTTATAAAACAATTTCTTATGGAGATAGTGGTTTTTGTTTTTGAAAAAATGAAGGTAGTATTTTGTTATATACTACGTAACACTTTTATTTGAATGCCTTGGGCCTCAAATATGCTAGAGCCGGCCCTGACTAAAACATTGTGAAGGAAAACAGAGAAGCAACAGAGATCAGCGTAAGATGCAGATGATACGAGGTCAAAGACGTAAATCTACTTGGATCTCTGTCTCATCTTTTGGCGCTTCCTCTTGAGCCTCCTCATACGCTTCTTCTTCCACTTGGCTCTCATGCTGGAGTGTTTTGTTTGCTTTCACAGAGAAACTTGATTCTTAGCGGCCGATACAAAAACGTCTGCATTAGGAATGTCATACTAATGCAGATTCAATAAAAAAATACTCCGTAGCATTTTTTAAGAAAAAAAGGCATCTTTTCATTAAATTTTTACCCGATGGGAAATTTATTTGTCTGTTTTACCTGATTATAGATATGCATGCCAATAAAAAAATACTACGTATATGCATGCACTTAAGCACCATTTCCTTTAATTTCTTGTGACTCGTGTGACTAATTCAATTAGCGAGAGATGCATATGATCAGTTTTACTTTTTATTGTCTTATTTCTCTACCCCCAATTAAGTGTTCATATTTTTGCAAATGGATTAATTTATTAATTATGCAGGAAAACATTAATGGGTATGGCTAAGCATTATGAAACTGGAGAGTCTCTTCCTAAAGCCATATACAAGAAACTGCTTGCAGCTAGGAATTTCTGTTCTGGTACCCGTACTCTTCCCCAGGTGAGTCATAAGCATCACTGCATCAATGTGTAGTGTCGTGTGTAGCTCAACCGGTTGTTAGTGTTTTGATCTAAATTAGGTAAACAAGTGGTATGAAGCTAAGGTTTAAATAGTTTTTAATTGAGGGATTTAGCTAGTAGCTAGGTACTACATACGTTCCAAATTAATTTGCAAATTTAACTTTTCTTGGTCAAATAGATTCATTTTATTCGCTTAATTAGGATACCAATGTTTTATTATATTCTAATTTGGAGTTCGCAGCTTTGAAGAGATTTCAATGTACTTTCTGAATAAAATATCGATACAGAGGATTGACTTTTGTTATTATTTGATAATAATAATTGGGGTATTATTTATGAAGAGAATGTATGAGCAATTCATGATTTAGGAGGGCTAGCTAGCTTGAGTATAGATCTTGAGCTTTTGACTCAACCGTCCTATCAAGGATCTTTTCGGTCTCTTCAGTGATACATTAAATCTATCATCTTTCATATCAAGAACAGGGTGCTGGCACCGACTCGCCCCAAATTTTGCGAGTGGGTGAGATAGAAGTGTCATGATCTTGTTTTTCATTTTGAACATGTTTTAGGCGCCCTATTTGAGTAGTCTCTCATTTAATAGGCAAATAAAGGTCCTTTATACGGAGTACTCGTATATAATAAGCTTCTTAGACTTGACAATGTAGATGGTAAAACTCAAGGTTTCATAGGAGGAGTAGCCCAAATCCAGGGGTGTAGCTACTAGCTAGGGGGTGGCCAACCCTGGTCTCGACACCATCCAAATTAAAAAAAAAATGTATATATTTTTAGTATTAAAAAATTCTATGTAATCTTTTTTAAAAAATACTCTTTATATCAACTCAGTCCGGTCCAGTACCCTAGCTCCGCCCCTGTCCCATGCGGCCTGCCCAAAGCCTTATATAGTCTTTTATTGTTTTATCATTTTCCGGTGTGTGACAAATACTTTAGCAGTAACAATGACATGATTTTTAAATATTCAGATAGAAGATGCAATAGTTGATCTTGAGCTGCATTCGAAATATATCCCTGATGGTTCAGAGTCTATTTTTTATGTCCACAAACGTGTCTGTGAGAGGACACGAGTGCTCCCCCCATTTCCTGATGATAAGTCCCTTTGCGGTTTCCAACACATCTTCAATGGAGGATATGAGGCTGGGTACTATGGTTACCAGGTGTTTGAAACTACCTTATTTTTTGCACGCTAATTTTCTTAATCTTTGCTTGTATTGTGGCTGCATTTTATCATTTCGTGCTATTCCTGGATTTTTCTCTTCCCTTCAATTCATTGTTTTCTTATGCATTTGCACTCTTTCTTGTAATTTTATTGTTTTAATATCATTCTTCAATTCCAAAATAGAAGTATCTTTCTTGATTGATTCTTGCATGAGATGTGGTCTAATTAGGGATAGTGATGGATTATGTAGTGGTCAAAGGTTTTGTCCGCTGATGCTTTCTCTGCATTCGAGGATGTCGGGCTAGAAAATGAGAAGGTAAAAACAAATTAAACAGAAACAAAATAATGCATTTCCCTCTCTCACTATTTATGTCTGTAATATTCATATTATGGTATAGGAAGTCCAACGATTAGGAAGAAGATTCCGGGAAACCGTGCTCGCACTTGGAGGTGGCAAACATCCGCTAGAGGTGGAAATGAAATAAAAAAAAAACCTCTAAATGCTTCCCTTTATGTGGAGTTTAATTTGTTCCTCATGTTGTTTGCTTGCTTTCTTTTTCAGATTTTTATTGATTTCCGAGGAAGAGAACCTTCTATGGAGCCACTTCTTAGGCACAATGGCCTCTTACACTATGCAAATCATAGTGTACAATCTAATCCTCATACAATTAATTGTACATATGCCATTTCTTGGCGATTAGTTTATATTTCTCTAATGATTCTTTTTACATATGCCACTTCATATTTATGTTCTATTTGGGGTGTAATGTGACATTCCACATGTAATTCGATGTTGTTGGTAACCTTATTCCTACCTTTATTTATGAAGTTATTGTTTGTAATGTTTCAACAGATTACACTAATTGAAACAAGGTTATTGATTGAAAGCATGCATTTATTTAAATTTACCAAATTAAAAGTGTGTGTGATCTGCTACATACTTGATTTTGCATACTACCTACTAGAATCAGGTTGTCCCGCTAGGGATCGGAAAGCATTTTAATTCAGAACATTTTTTGTAAACTCTAAATAATACTAAAACATACATAAAGTTCATCAGTACGACTACCAATGTTTTATTCTCAGCATATTACTCATCACGTACTCCTATATATTTTTGGAAATTTTAATCAAGCTATTCTTTTAATAAGAGTAAATAAGTCCTATTTGGGGAATAAAACATACTTAGTCCTACTTTTATACTTTTTACTTTGTACTACCTCCATTCTCTTTTAATTGCAACATTGGATTTTTTGCACTATTCACATATTCTACTTTGACTATATTTTATTTATTGATGTATCATTATTTAAATTCTTAAAAAATATTATTAAATTTTTTTCATTCTAATTTTTCAAAATATGAATTTTTTTTATTTTTTTACTAATAAGGAATGAAAAATATTAATGGTCAAACTTGTGCATTGGCAAACGTGAAATGTTGACTGTTGCAATTATATGTTTTGGTCCTATATAACTATTTTCAGCAATTATAAAATTGCCAACATTTTCCATCCTGCCGTGATGGACAAATTCGTATTTAACTTTCGACTTAAATTAGATAATTGTTGTAAGGTGAATTTGGTTTGAAAAATAATATGTGGTTTGTTACTATATTTTTATATTTCAATCCAGTTTTCTAAAAATTATGCATAGTATTACTTTTCAATTTTTTCTAACCACCACACTGTCACAAATCACAATTGTTATATCGTACATTTTGTAAAAAAATCTAACCATCACACTGTCAGGATAGCCTACTCGGAATCGTTGTACGACCACCTCTAGTTGAGGTGCTTTTAAGTGAAACTCTTTTATAAAAGTTTGGGGAAAACTGTCAAATAGGTCCTCCAACTTTCATAAAAAGGTCAAATAAGTCCTTATATAGGAGGCTCTGTCCGGCCGTCGCGATTTGGGGCGGTTTCCGGTGGAATTTTTGATGAAATTTTTTGAGCGTCTTATTCATCAAGTCTAGTTTACTCATACCAAATTTTAGCTAAAACTTCAATCGGGAATGCATTCAAATTAATTCTTGAAAATAACTGTGCAGTTAAATGAGCAATTATCTTGAAGAATTAACTTGAATGTGTTCCCAATTGAAATTTTAGCTAAAATTTGATATGAGTAAACTAGACTTGATGAATAAGATGCTCAAAAAATTGCATCAAAAAATTCCACCGGGAACTGCTCCAAATTGCGACGGACGGACAGAGCCTCCTATATAAGGACTTATTTGACCTTTTTTTGAAAGTTCGAGAACCTATTTGATAGCTTTCTCTAAAAGTTTGTGAGCATGTTCATGAATGGTAAATTGTGTCCACCGGGTTTCAGGTTAAAATTAAATCGTGAGGTCAATTAAATAAATTATAAAAATAGAACATTGGGCCAAAATATATATAAAGAGCGCAACATTTTTTAAATTGAAATTTGGTGGGAATAACTACACTTCATTAAATACATGGTCACAAAAATTCATCAAAAAATTTACACGGAAGCATCTCAAATGGAGGCCACCTGACAGCTATTCTGATCAAGCAAGGAGAAGATTCATTTGCAACTTATACGCATCTAGTCTGGTCGGCTTGGAACTGGTCTTGTTTTTTTTAAGAAATAATTACATAAATATGACCAAAATAAAGACGATTTACAAAAATATGATTAGTTACTAGAGTAGTAATGAAATCATAGTAATTCATGTTCAAGTTTCGAACTTAAGTTACCACAACACTACGTTGTAGAAAAGAATAGTCATATTTATGTAAGTAAGTTTTATTTTAGTAATATTCTTGTAAAAAACCCTTTTTTAATCGGTAGGCAAACCACCAAAATCAGTGGAGCAAATGCCGGAGAACATTTGTCATTATTTTATTAGAAAAAGATGGTAAATACGGCAGAGAAGGGACTAAACCAAAACATACTCCAAAAATTAATGAAGGCAACAGAAGAAAAACTCAGGGGGACTAGACCTTACCCGAATAAAAATTAATATGTAAAATAAGGAAATCCAAATAAGTTAGTATAATAATAAAGAGATATTACCCAAAATGGGACTAAAAAAGTTTGGAAATTCCAAAATAGGACTTCCATGTTTTTATTCCCAAAACAGGAGTAATTACTGTCATGTTTTGGCAGTACCACACTTCAAATTTGGCAGTATTTTCCAAATTTGGCAGTAATTAATCGTATTTCGGGAATAAAAACATGACAGTCCTATTTTGGAATTTTCAAACTTTTTTAGTCCCATGTCGGGAATATGCCTTGCATATCTGGGAAACATGTCCAGCGAAGTAAATGAACAAAATTGGGCCGGAATGTGGTCTGGATCAGCAACACATGGGTTAACACATTCCCCTTGGGTAAGGTATGTCTCAACGACACTCCACTCCACTCTGTGGTAGGGATGGACCCGGCCGGGCCGGTTCACTAAAATGGAGGCCCGGGCCCGGACCGCTATACCACCGGGCCGGGTGGCCCGAACCGGTCAAGAACCGGGTGACCGGGCCGGTCCGGGCCCGCACAGTAGCGGGCCGGTCCGGTTCCGGGCCGGTTGGCCCGGCCCGAGTCCACCCCTACTCTGTGGGAAATCATGCTGAGAGTAGAAGGTGAAACTATTTCAACCTGATCTTGTAAATGTTCAATTGTATATACTACGTATTTTATAATTGGTTGACAACTCCCGTACCCTTTTAAAAATTGGGATACCGTACCTACCATGCATTTGATTGGTCCAAATCATTCTATTCATTTTAGTTTAGATTTAATTAATGAGATATTACCCGAAATAGGACTTAAAAAGTTTAAAAATTCCAAAATAGGACTTGCATGTTTTTATTTCCAAAATAGGACTAATTACTGTCATGTTTTGGCAGTACCAGACTTCAACCATGGCAGTATTTTCCAAACATGGCAGTAATTAGTCCTATTTTGGGAAGAAAAACACGACAGTCCTATTTTGGAATTTTCAAACTTTTTTAGTCCTATTTCGGGAACTTTCCTATAATTAATTCAACTGCATCACTTCTATTGATCCATGTGGACAAAGGTACCATAGAATCTACCTTATAATTGTCAAGTTTTGTTTTGTTTGGTCTAGTCATATCAAGTAAAAACATCTTTAAACCACCTATGCATACTTTTACCAAGCCCCCCTTGTACAGTAGTATCATAATTCAAATCGTGGCATTCGTTTTCCAATTTAGGAAACGTATAATGGTTAACTTCCTCCGCTCATTTAAATTTTAAACAAGTCGTCGTTTTGTTTGTGCTACAATTATGTTCACTTCTGTTTCTTATTAACTTTTCTAAAACATCCTTCGTGGTTCGACATTTTAAACTATTGGCCCAAATTCTTCTTATAATCTTTACCTTCAAGAGTTTGCGTTCTTTTACATTTTACACCATTTGCGCAAATCATCAACAAATGATGAAGGATTAGGAGTTTTTAGTTAGCTTGGATTATGAATGGATTTCAAATTGATCATTAATTGTTGATTCGTTATATTTGTTCTCATGTTGGGAAAGAATACTGTAGAATATTGTGGATAAAACTTTATGTGAAACTGAACTATTTCGCATGTATCATGTCGGGTAATAGTGCGTTTGCCACAGTAGAAAATGTGGACACTGATAGTCTCAGCAGCTTTTTTCTTTTACTCTCTCTTCTTACTAGACCATGTGACATACCCCATGTACCACCGATACAGGTACGCGGAAATGCGGAAACGGATACAGGGATACGACAAAACCAAAAAGAAGTAGGATACGAATACGGGACCATATTTATAAAAAAAAAATTAGCTTTTCATTTTTTAAGAATTTTATTTTGTAAATTTTGAGTGTTTTTCAAAAGTTTTTTTTGAAGATTTTTTTTAATGTTGATTCGTGTATCTGATCCGTCAGGATACGAGTATCCGAAGTTTAAAATAATTACCAAAAAAATGAAAACTTTTAAAAATTACAGATACGGCCCAGGAACGTACGGTTTGGGTATCCTAGAGTATCAGATACGTGATCGTTTCCGATACGCCGATATGACACCCAAGTGAAGTATCCGTGCTTCATAGGAGATACCTATAGCACGACTCTAATTTACCTTTGTTCCAAAAGGTGGAATCTCCCACTCAAGGAGCCACACATTCTGACCCGACAGAATGGTGGAGGAGTAAGTCACGGTGACTCAGTCGACCCAATGATGGTAGAACTTATACCCGTGCGCACCAGAGGTCCAGTCCAGCACGCAGGAACTGTAACCTCCACACGATCACTGCGGGTTTCGATCCTTGATCATTCTTCCAAATTTTCGATCACTGGACCAACTGAGCTACCTGTGCGGGTACAGCTCTAATTTACCAAAAATACATTTTTGTTCTCTTAAAATCCCAACAAAATCAGTGTCATCTGCTTCCCCTAAAAGCACACCTGTTCCGCATAACATGTTGATAATAGCTTTCTTCCCCATAGAACTTCCTGAAATTTTAACATAGAAGCATCTTAAATATCCAATGTAATTCATGGTTACATGCAGAAAGCAGATATTGTTTTCTTTAGTTTATCACTTTACCTCTCTGTGCCACAAATATTGAAACATGCGAAAGTGACACATGCCCCAATATTAAGATTAGTATAATTAGATGATTGATATTGAAATTGTAAACAAAAAATGAATTAGATACACATAAATCTGACAAAATATGGCTGAAAATGGCTGAATGAAATGCAACCATAAACATGTAGGCACCAACTAATGAACTAATCAACCATAGGTTAGACAAGAACTCAACCATCAAAGTTAGACACCTAGACTTACGCCAGATGTTCAAATGTTTCTGATCTGATGACAGCCTTTCCCTCGAGAAGTTCAAGGCAAGAATGATGCATTATCATCTCCTTCAGTGTATGTTTTGTGCTTTTAATGTCATTATCCCACAAGATACTCTACAAATGGAAGAGCAGAGATAAGGTAACTTCAACTATAGTAAACTGAACATCAATATAGAAATCTTTAAATAAAAAAACGTTGATTTGTGCAAATGACATAACTATCCGAAAGTTTTTCTTCATCTGATTTTGTAGCAAAGCAAGAATATATGTATCACACTGGTGCCAATCGTTTAAGAGTTAACACTTTATGTTGCTTCAAAATGGTACTACAATTAAGTTATAAGAATCACTCGAATTTGGTACCAAAAGATATTTTTAGCCAGTCCTCCTTACATTGATGCCACAAAAGCACATCTCTATAGGAGTGTTTGCGGTTGCTTAAAACAAGCGTTTTTCAGCTTTTGGCTTAAAAAAAACTAAAAAGAGTGTTTTCAAATGACAACTTCTGCTTAAATTAATCACTTAAAAGCTAGAAGGTGGAAGCAGGTGGAAGGGTGTTTTAAACTGCTTTTCACTTTTTCTATTACACAAAAAGTACTTATTTTACCAAACACTACCAACTTTTATTTTTTCAGAATCACTTTTTTCTCAAACACTACCAACTTTTACTATTAATCACTTTTCCCAAAATCACTTTAAAAAATCACTTTTTTAAAGTTGAAGCAATTGCAAACACTCCCTATGTAACCTACAAGTTGGCATAACATGAGTATATTTGGCAGCCATATAACTATTCCTAATAATAATATATCCATTAATCTAAACCTGTTTGTTTGATCCGGTAAATTAGATGATCAAATAAGGAAACCTGTGTAAGGATTTAATCACATATTCGCAGGTCAAATACCTTTCTCACGTACTCTCTTTTCACATCATCCCAGGGTACTTTTCCATTAGGCGAGAACAGAGAAGCATTCCACATTGCTCCCCTAGCAACCATCACAGATGATGCACCTAGAATCATCACCAAATATAATAAATGCCTAAAATATTGTAAGCAGAAATTTGCACATAAAAAGTGGGGGCAAATGTACACACATAAAATTAGAGAAAATTCCCACAATAAGAGTAAAAATTACTTAGGGAAAAAGTATAAGTCAATGTTTTAAGTTCCCTAAGTAGGAGTCATGATTTGCGATTGGACAAAAACACCCTTGTAGGGGTTGAAGCTTGGTCATCGGACTGCCGCTGCGCCGGACTGCCGCCACCGCCAGTTGCCAGACTGCCGCCGGATTCACTAATGAAGCAAGGGTGGGGGGAATTAATTATATTATGGGTAGGCATGTAATGTTTAGTCCTATCTAGGGAATGAATATAAAGCATGGACTCCTATTTAGGAACTTTAACCTTGTTTTAGTCATATTTAGCGTTGTTTCTTTATAAAATTATAGAAATGCAAATAAATAGTCTTGATGAAAGACTTACTTCTAACAATCAAATTCTCTTAAGTAATGGAAGCATTGAAGCAAGCATAAGTGCACAATATTGCCGAAAAGCAGCAACACATTAATGGATTCTTAATTTCTTATAGCATAGAAACCTAAGATGCTCTTACACTCTTGGGGATGTTTGGATGGAGGGCTTAGCCAATATCATTATATATAGAATGTTCCTTAAAATGAATAAAAGGTGATTGAGGCATTGCATTAGGACATATTTTGCTATTCCTTCCATTTATAACAAGTATCAAACATATATCAAAATCTACACTTTGGCCTCTAAATTCCTCCAAAACCTAACTACAAAACTGACCCTTGGCATTACAACAGTTAGGAAATTTTCAGTTAACTCTAGTTAACTAAAGTTAACTCTAATGAAATCTTTATTACAACTGTTTTACATTTTTAAATGATGTTTTCCATGTTCACAATTTTCATTTCATGTTTTGCATTTCAGTGCTAGTACGAAATTGAAAGAAAGCTTCTGTTGTAAATTACATCTTCAATCAAATTGCTATATTAAGATTCAAGCAAATGGCCTGCATATAGACCTTTACACCCATTTGCACCGACAAGCACAACCCTTCTGTGTCCTGTTGTGGTCCACCTACTGGCTTCCATAGCTAAAGTATTAAATTCAGAACAAGAAAATCTATGATTTTACGCTTAGGCAGATAAATCAACAGAAGATAAAGATTATTTTCTTTTTTGAAAAAGCACGTAAAGGAAAGATGAAGCATCTGAAATAATTATTAAAAATACCAGTTGCATCTTTGATTCTTTGAAAATCATCATACTCAAAAACATCGCCATTTGCAATAACTGGTATAGATATTGCTGAAACGATATCAGAAATCTCACTCCACTTCGCCGGATCTCTTGGTCTATCTGGAACTTTCCTTGAGTTCAGTACATAAAATCTCCAGTCAAGAAATCTTAACAAAATTACTGTATAAAGAAGCTTAAAACATTGAAATCAGATGAACAATAAAGTACAGATAATTATGCTTAAACTTTGATTAGTGATTACAGTAGACACCTTCCATGAACAGCAAGGGCAGATATTCCAGTTTTTTCAATTTGTCTTGCCAACTCTACAGTGTCTTGTGAGCATTTCAACAAACGGATCTTGCAGGTCACAGGTGTATCTAAGTTCCTTCTCAATGTTGTCAATATCTGTACCACAGTAATAACAGGACAAAAGATTATTTAGTAGGCCATGTAATTGAGCCCAAGATATAATTATTTTTCAGCCTTGGGCAAAGGAATGCGAACATCATGAATGAGTTCTGGTTTAGTCAGCAGTGCAGCACCCATTCCTCCAGAGATAGAAAAAGATTTAGGGCAACCCATGTTGATATCCACTGCAGCAACATCCTTACAGCTACGAATGATAAACCAGTCAGATTAGAACACACAAATTGTAGGCAGACATCCTCTTTTGATCCTACTAAAGACATCAAATAGCCCAATTTGAGTCTTTGTGAGCCCGTTTGGTAGCCCAATTTGGCTTATTCTGCTTATTAGCAGAATAAGCAAAATAATTTGAATCAGTAGCTTTGTTTACTTATTTGGCTCAAATGGATTTTACCAAATGCTTTTTCTTTCAGAAAATTAGGTAGATCCACCAATTTCAGCTATATAGCCTCAACCAAACGGGCTCTATAATATCACTATGATTATACTATCCAGGAAAGAACGTCTACAAAGAGCTTACACCATCTGAGCAGCACTAAGAGCCCTCACAGCATCGGAAGTGCCCATTTGAAATACGACCCTGCTTTTTTCTTCAGAGCATGTTCTGAAAACAACACTTCCTGTTCCCTTTTCCACAAAGTCAATTGTACCCAATAAATCTATTGAAGAAGAGGAAAATTGGTCAGTTTGTTCCACGAAAAATTGGATTGTCAGGGATCTGAAAGAAGCAAATTGCACAAATAAAATTAGTAACACAAGCTAAAGGATCCATAAATAAAAACTTTCTTTTGAGTGCACCAATGTAGAATTATTTATCGAAAAACCAAAATACTATTGACCAAATGAGGGAACCAATGGAACAAACAGCAAGCTAGCTCACGCAACAAAATATCTCTGTTTAGCATAATTAATATGAATTCGGAATACCAATAGTATGTTATTAGTGCACGGTACTAGACAAAATACTAAAACCGCTGAACAAGGAAACAAATAAAGTCTCATACTGACAGTAGTAAATGCTGTATAATGATGTCTGGAATACATTAAAATAGAACTATGGATAATAAAAACTGTGGAGTGTAGATGATAGGAACCTGGTATAATCTGAGCGTAAACAGTAAACCAGCAAACACAGATCTGATAAAATGATAAGGGAATGATGTTTATTGATGAAGAAGATAATCAGTAGGCAACAAAGGCAACCGGGACTTAGGCAACAAGGCAAAATTCAATCAAATAACAGTCTGCCTCACCCGTTGTTACCCCTTCTATTTATAGCCAATACCCACTTATGGATATGCTAGATATTACTAATAACCCCTTCCCTTCTATTAAAACTACTACAAGTACCTTTACTATTATTAATATTATTATTTCTTATTAATAGCCTACAAAACCCAGATTCCTATCATTACTTCCCCCCTAAACAACCACCTTGTCCTCAAGGTGGGTGATAGGAATCAGCCATGATCTTCCACTTGCACTTCATTCTTGCACCTCTTCCTTCCCAATACCTCACAGATTTCTGAACCCATACTTTCCTGATTCCAACCTTCATGGTCACTCCTTTCATAGCCCGAAAGAGCATAGCAAGAAAGAATAGAGACAATGACTTTGTTGCATACTGCCCCTCTCCCAACCATTTTATGCTGTGTTTACTGAAAATTTTCTGTGCATTTCCATGATTGGCTAGTGGTCCCATTCCCAGAATCACATTAATCTCTCCAAGATCTAACAAATAGGAGTCCTCAGTCTTCACTAGATGGTGTACCCAAGTCTGTAGTACCTCACAACTGCTCTAGAGTGATATATGCTCTCCTTTCCCCATCTTGGCTTGAAACATTACTGCTGCTTTATAGTACATTTGTACCACCTCTATCAATTTCTGAGATATGAGATTAAGAGTGGCCCCAGAATTCATTAATATCAGAATCTGTTTGCTTCCCCTCTCACAGTCCCTGCGTAATAGACTTGGGATCATACTGGCTGAATCAATATCAGTTGATAACACAGTTTTATCTGAAGTTTTAAGATCTGTAATGATCTTATCAACAAACACCCTGCCACCAACCAGTACACATATCACTCTGTTGGATGCCGCCTTCATCAATACCTCGCTTAGGCCCATTGCAGCTTCAGCAATTGTCCCTTCGAGTAAAGCAAGTTGTGAAAGAGAGCTGGCATTGGCCTCAACATTTCCTGCACCCTCCCTTTGAACTAGTATACAACCTATCAGCCTTCTCCTTACATTCTCACCAATTATCAAGGCTTTTTGGAGGATAGCTGAATTGAATTCATTGTCAAGCACCAGGAAGATGTCAAGGAATCCACCAGTAATATAACCAACCTTTTCCTTCTAGGTTCCAGTAGTTCTTACCCCCACACCTTTTCAGACATACTTCACAGGAATTTTATCATCAAATCTGAAGCCATCAAACTGATGCAGCCCTTCCAAAACTTCACTTGCTATTACCAACCTTGATTCCTCATTCTCTGATGGCATAGCTGTTTGCAAGGGCTCTCCATTAGTAACAAATGACTCAAGCGTATCACCTTTACCAACCAATAGTTTTACAAGTAAGCAGCGGTTTGACATTTTCCACAATCCTTCAGTATTGGCCATTATCAAGGTAGCAACTGAAGAAGAAAGTTTAGCAGTGTAGGTTGTCAACAGGTGTCCACCATTGATATACTCATATCCATTTCCATCATCTTCAGAAAGAGAACCTTGGATTATACCTAGTGTCTCCAGAAAAGAATTGCCAGCTTTGGTAGCCCTCGGAGCATCCTCTATTTTCTGGAATGCCCCATACCTTCCCTTTACTGCCAGTGAAACCCGATGCAAACCCTTATATAAATTCTGCCAATGGACTTCACCCGAGGCATCCTTTGCACAAAGGATATAGAAGTTGACCGCATTCTTTTGTTCTTGTCCATGAGCTCTTTCTTCAGCTTGTAACATGAGTGCAGGTTCCCTTGTTAGTCCTGAGCCACTATCAAGTATTCCAATATGGGCAATATTAACCTCTTTACTTAATGTAGTAACATGAGTCCCCAATGCACCAGGAATATACAAGAATTTCTTCAAAATAGTAAGATGCCCAACTAACTTCCTTTTTGGTGCCACCTGATAACTGGAGTTTGATTCAGAGCTCGGATCTAAATCACAATCCTTAGTAGCATCAGTATGTGCGTTGATGATTCCCTGAAGCTTCTTTCCATCATTCCCTTCTTCTCTGTCCTCAGTTTCCTCCTTGTTCACACACATCCTTTCCTTCAAGGTACTCCTAAATGCAGTAGTAGTTCTGGAGTTGGATTGCCAGGCTATAGCAGTTCCTTCTTAAACTTCATGAACTGCCAGTAGCGGATCAACAGCTAACATACCACTCCCAACCCATTCACCATGTCCCTCATTTTCAGCCAAGGAAGAAACCACTTGGTTCTCCAATTCAGAACCAGCAATTTTGTCCTCAGCAGACAATTATTCCACGGCACTTGAGAGTTGATTCATCACAGAAGATTTCTCCTCCACTCGTTTCTCATCACCATTGATGAGTTTATCTTCAGAGTTAAGTTCTAGCTGACTCACAGACTGCTGCGGGACTGAAACAGACTCCACTTGTGGACTGTGAGAAGCGGAAATATGCGAAGAAACCTGCTGTGAGTCCTGCGAACTCAGAGAAACTGCTTGCAACGAAGCTGATGAATTAGGTGAGATTGCTTGCGAAGACCCCTGCAAACTGGAAGCTGATGCCTGTGGACTCAGAAAACTGTTTCGCATCTGTGAATTGGAGACTTCCATTTGCAAGGCAGTATACGAACTGAGAGTGGTTCGCATCTGTGAAGAAGGAGAAACGATAAACGATGCTGGCTGCGATTTCGAAGAAGTTCGCGATGGTGAACTGGGAGAATTTCTAGACGATCGCGGCTTCTGGTTCTCTGATTTCCGACTGCGTGGTTGGAAATGCCTATTTATGTCCTTCAGAACTTCCCAGCTTTTTCCTCTCGTTCGAAATTCCCACCCTTCAAACCAATATAACGCATCATCCTCCATAGCTCCTTCTGCTATTTCAACTTTCCTTTCCTCCGCAGTAGCTTTGAGTCTGAAGTATTCTTCCATCTTAACTATCCATTTGTCCACTTTATCTCCGTTAAACAACGGTAGTTCAACCTTTAATCCCGTACGAGCATGTCTTCTCCTGTTATCGCCCTCCACCCTAGAACTTGAATGATCGGAATTTTTTTCAAGTTGCGTCGAGTTCATTTTGTCAGAAGAGCGTGGCCGAGGACTCGCCAAATCTGGATGATGTGATGCGGCTGATTGCGAATTGCGTGAGGCAGTTTGCGACCAAATCTGCGCACTCTGATGCTGGGCTTGCGATTGCGAATTCACCTGCGAACGACTGAGGGAGATGGCTTGCGATGACCATTTGTGAGATCGCGATCTCCTACTCTCCTGAAGTTCATCGCCCATGGCCTCCATCTTTTCCGCCAAGTTTGCCATCATCGTTTTCATCTCCCGTCCCAACATATCTCTGCGATTTTCCATTTTCTCTCTCCTTCTGACCTTCCACCTCTGAAACGCTAGTTCTGCAGTAGTCGCACTTCAAATCCGATCCCCAGACCCCAGGAGCAAATGCTCTGATACCAATGATAGGAACCTGGTATAATCTGAGCGTAAACAGTAAACCAGCAAACACAGATCTGATAAAATGATAAGGGAATGATGTTTACTGATGAAGAAGATAATCAGTAGGCAACAAAGGCAACCGGGACTTAGGCAACAAGGCAAAATTCAATCAAATAACAGTCTGCCTCACCCGTTGTTATCCCTTCTATTTATAGCCAATACCCACATATGGATATGCTAGATATTACTAATAACCCCTTCCCTTCTATTAAAACTACTACAAGTACCTTTACTATTATTAATATTATTATTTCTTATTAATAGCCTACAAAACCCAGATTCCTATCAGTAGATTTCAATAAGCGACGCCAGTTTCCATTGTAGCACTGTGGATTGGCACATTTGGGATATCATGACCACCAACAACAACCAAGCGCTAATTTTAAATCATTGAGGTCGGCAACGTAAATGTATCTCTCAATGTCATCTATCAACACTGTATCTTCAACTACTCGTCGGGAATTATACACTAATGTGAAGTTTCACGACTAACATGAAATATCTTTTCACACCTCAATTCACATTGGATTCGCTCTACCATGATACCTCTTTGATTCTCTCATCCTCCTGGAGTTCTAACACTTGGCTTTTGTACTGAAGCACCTACCTCTTTCAGAGTTGCAGTCACACATATCTGAATCAACATAGTAACTTTATCCCTGAAATCATCTTCAATAGCTTCTTAACCCACTCTCACATGGACCTTCACATTTCCAGTTATCTTAATTTCATACTATAACATAATTGTAACATATGCATTAATGTTACACTCATCGTTGTAAGCATATTGTTCCTAATTGTCCAACACTATGGTCCATATAATATGATGTTTCGAATAAATCATTCCATTTCTTGATTGTCTCCCTCTTTCTTTATCTAATGTTATTAACTCTAATATCATATGTCGCTTCACGACCACCAACAACAACCAACTTGACCGCCAAACTCTTTTGGGAATAAGGACTGGATGTTGTTGTTATGCTCTAATTGCTATTATAGCATTTAGTTTGAAATGTGTATTTCTTTCCTTGTGGATTATATCTCTACATGTAAACTCTTCTTATTTACTCCACTAAACTCTTTATTCGATACAAGATATTCAACACTTTTTATTTTTTGGGTACAACCGAAATGAAAATTCAACACTTTTTATGCTAACACTTCTAGTAGATCACACCTTTCTTGATAGGCGAACATTGTAATCCATAAAATGAAGCGGGCCTAATGACCATAAGATACCCTATTATTCCAAAATTCAACAAAAATTTCCTGAACATTTTTTCCTGCTTAAAAAAATTGCAAACACTGGCACAACAACGCAGTGGAACTATAGGTTGTCCTTCAGTTTAGAATGTTTTTGCTTGCTGGAAGTAGGGTGGGATCGGGATGATCCCGATCTTGTCCCGAGCCCGATTCAAAATACAAGAGGTTCCCGTACCCTGTCCCGATTAAGTCGGGATACCGACATTAAAATCCCGATTAAGTCGGGTTCCCGATCAGGAATCCCGCTTAATCCCGACAACGAAATATCAAATATATAATTATGTAATTTTTTCTTTGGTTAAACACTAACTTTGATATTTAGTAGTTTCAACATTATTCTTTGGTCATTATTATACCATATTTATCATCATCTACTTATAAAATTTATAGTAATAATTATTATCTCATATTCACAGTAGTACGTACTTTAGAATTAGGAAAAATGGGAGAGCCTCTCCTCCTCTCTAAAATTTCATCTACTTCCTAAAAAAAGCAAATGGAATTCCGGCACACAAATCGCCGGAATCATGGATACATAGTCAATGACTTCTGCTGCAAGGAGTGCCACTGCGACAGAAATAACCAACAACAGTGGTATACTCACCCCCACTCCAGTTACTTAAATCGCAGAGCCAAAACGCACAGGGTATTTCCAACGAGAACAGGTACAAGCTTTCTCCAAAATACTAGCTCTCATTCCCAGCGCAGACAAAGGTTTTACCAAGCTAGCAGGAACCGAACACCTGCATACCAGAACAGGTTTTACGCATACAACCCTGGGAGTTCCACAGCCCACTATTCAATTGAGAATAAATCAAGAAATCCGACCAAACAAAGGGCAAATTACCAAGAACGTCGAGGCGATGCTACTCAGAGCCAACAAATAAGACCGTGCCATCAGCCCCAAAAAGTGGAGAAGGACGATGAATGGCAGACGGTCAAACACAGAGGACGGATCTACGCCGAACGAAGGCCTCCAATGCAACACCGCATCTACTCGAGCAACACCTCGGTTGAAGGTAACCCAAATCGTTACCATCGCCTACGAGACCCAAATCTAGATTTAAATTTGGAATCAGGTAATTCGATCAATCCCAACTTCAATCAGCGATTTACAGAAAAAAAAACAGGAAACGGGGAGAATACATCAGCGACCGTAGAAACCTTGTCATGCCACAGCCTGGAAAAAGTTACTGCGGACGAAACCACTCGTCGGCAATAGCCACGGCTGAGAATCCGTCTGATATTGCGGCATTAAAAGCGGCAGTAATCGTGGGCAACCTGGATGTCGTGGAGATGCAAGCCCAAAGACGAGGGCCGGAGAACTCTACGCCGGTGCCTCCATCCAATTCACCACGAACAGCGGCCATCGTGCCAACCACCGACAACATGAGCGCCATGGATAATCAATCGACTGGTAGTGTCAGTCGCACATGGGCTGACCTGGTAAAGGGAGATACGGACAAGAAGTATGGGTCGGCACTTGTCTCAAATTATCACGGTAATACGATTTCAAAAAGTCCTCTTTCAGGCCAGACTGGAATTCTGCAAACTTATGACCGTGCAAGTACATCAGGACTAAATAATTGCACAAAGGAAATGGATACGGCGGACGGAAATGTGGAAGCCACAAAACTTTTACTCAACGCGGGTGAAAAATACTGCTTTTATGGAGAATATGGATTTGACTCCATCAAAATTGCTTCAACATCTTACAAATTCGCACTCAGAGATTCAGATTTGGTCCTTTTTCAAATTAAAAAATCGCTGCTGCATAAAATTCAATTGAAACTTGAACTCGTCCCTCGAATCCTGCAATTCATCACCCATCTCACAAATAATGCTCCGGAATATTTTGAGAAAAAAGAGAGAATTGGAGATATCATGATTTCCGTGGAAATTAACAGAGCGGGTTACTATGTAAAAGTGGCAAAATATAAGGGGAGCTTCATTCAGATACCGTTGGGATCCCATAATTCGAGCATATTTAAATTTCTTAATATTTTTTCTAATTTTGTAGGGCATTCACATTCAGTGCCGGATGACTCGATATCCCTTCTACACGGGACAATATTAGAAACCGAAGATCCCACATCCATATCCAAATTGATTTTTAATTATCAAATTCAGGCGGCCGATACTGAAAATAACAATGTCTTCTCTTCTGGGAAACGACCCCAGATGCCATTGATACAGGCTTACTCAGATGCCTCTGATGATTTTGATCACTCAGACGACTCACTATACACAGATGATTTTTTGGGACATGCAACCGAGAGTCCGAGAGCGATCGCCGACCTCCTCTTTCATACCCGGAAGAAATTAAGAAATCCAAATTCAATAGAGCGATCTGCCACAAAGCTATTTTCATAACGGCAGAAAACTGCATGCCAACTGAGAACTTGAACAAACAGCTAAAAATCTATAGGAAATCTCAAAAGAACAAGAGGCGTCACAGCATGACAACTAGGTCTCAAACCAGAGATTTTCCTTGGGATTAGCTCTTTTTTCTTTTTGTACTGTATTTCCTTTAATTTAGCACTTTTTTTTATCTTTCTTGTATTTCTAATTTTTTTCCTTTTCTTGCATTGTACTTTCATTTTATTTCAATAAAAAAAAAAAAGTTTTACTTAAAAAAAAAAAAAAAAAAACGTACTTTAGAATTATTTATAACTTCAATTAATAATAGTGAAACTTACTTCAAAAATTATATAAAAATTCATTAGAAGAAGGATGTGTAACATATAGTATTTAAAATTCAAAGCTAAGTAGGCTCATTGAGAAACTTTGTGACCAATGAATATAATATATAAATATATATTATGATTATTTACTAAAGAAAGAAATCTTAGTCTCGATAATGATTTTTTAAAGAGTTCATCGAAACCGTAAAAATTGTAATATTGTTGAGATTTAGATTTTCGGGATCAAGAATAATCTATATTTAGTTAGGATCCAGAATATTCAGTTTGGGACAAATGCCAAATAGTTTTAGAAGTTTGATATTGTAACATAAAAGATTTTAATCTTATGTAAGGAATAAGTAAGTAAAAAAGATATGCAAATATTTAGATACATATTCATTTTTCATAAATGTATATTCATTTTTTAATATATTCATATATAATTATATATATGTATATATATATTTCTATTTCTATATGTATATATATAGTGATGGGATGTCAGGATTTTCCCAATCCCGACTTTTTCCAAAGAAAAAAATCCCAGTCCCATCCCGACTTAGTCGGGATCGGGAAAAATTCCCTACTGGTCGGGATCGGGAATATCGGGACTCGGGAAAAAATTCCCACCCTAGCTGGAAGTACCAAAATCTAATAAAAAACAAGTATACTCATCCAATGTGCTAATGGAGCTGAGTCCAGCGGCCTTCTAAAGTGGATATCTTCATATGTGGACTAAAAGTCTCTTGTTTTGAAAAATCAGTACAGACTGTACCAAATTCATATTAAACAGGCAAATCACACTACCTACATCCCCCAAATATATCTTCACACTTTTTTGTTCCATCTGTCCCAAAAAATCAACTTCATTTTCCTTTCATGGCAAAGAGATTTGTATTCATATTATCTCCCTCATCTTGACAACTCTCGACCACATGGTTTTCATTTATCAATCTAAGTTAAAACTACCAAGAGGAGTTAATATTGAGACGGAGGGAGTGCAAGAATTAAGAAAAAGGCATGCTGCCATACCATTGACATGGCGCTCACATTTGAGCAGTTTGTGATCAATGATCTCCTCCCCATATGTTATGTCTGCACCATAGTCAGCCGCCAGCAACCTAAATGGTAGCGTTCCCTGTTAAAATGTTAACTCTCCGTCCAAAAACTGAACCACTTCATGTTCCTAACCATAAGATATACATATAATAGCAAATTCTACAAATAGGGAGCAACATTAAACAAAGTTCACAACTTGTAATCTTTTACAATTCTAACCCCAGCTACCCAACCGGGTCGCTGGGGTGGTATTGTGACTACAAAAAACTTTCTTGCACTTACAGACTTAGACCTAATTCCGAATGCGAATGATAAAAGAGGACATCCAAGAATGGTAACCAGATTAAAGACTAGTAAGTCTTACTATTCGGACCATCGGGGCCAAGACCAGCTTGTTTCGATACTCCATGGGTCTCTATCTAGCAGGCGACGACGACTGAAATGCACAGAAGATGATAATACGGAATTCGAAGTATTTTCCCCGGTCGATATTTACCCTATCAACGGCGGCATGACTCTGTAATCTGTGATGCGGCCGATTATAAGGTGGCCGGTTGTATGAACAAGTTCTTTAACTTTTAATTAAAAAGTAAAAACTTTGGATGGCTCTATTTAAAATAATTTTAAATTATAGAAACAGTCTTGAACAAAAAATAATACCTCATGGCTCATGCTCCCTCCGTCCCAATTTGATGATCCTGTATTTCCTTTCTGGGCCGTCCCAAATTGATAGTCTCATTTCCCTTTTTGGAAAGAAATATGTGGTCTACATCATTTCACCTTTTTTACTCAAATCTCAACCACAATTTTTACCTTTTCAACCACTTCCTTAATCTTTGAACCCAAAAGAAATGGGATCATCAAATTGGGACGGAGGGAGTACCAATTTTGGGAATATTTTTTAATAAAAAAAACTATTTGAATATATAAGAAAGTGATATTGAAAATGTTTTCACTAAGAAACAGTAATTTGACTGATCAAAAACTATTACGGAGTATCAAAATATATATTTTTAAATATTATTTATTTGATGCTTTGATATCAAATTTTTGATCTCTTAAATGATTGTGTTTTTTGTTTGCTTCATATTATTTTTATTATATATATTTAAACAATTAATATCACTCAAAAACCATTTTCAAAGTATGCATTATTATCGGTTTGAGAGTGATAGTTGCTATTTTTTTTTAAATCTACTCCGTTAATTCAATTTTGATTTATCAATGTTGATTAATTTATCCATTCAAAAAATGTTGGTTAATTTATATTTTGGTTACAAAAATTTTAATACTATTGTGTATGTCATAAATGTTGGTTGATATATTGGATATCAGTTAACTAAATTTTAATTTAATAAGTGATCAATTAGATATATAACTGTGCAAAATATAAAATAATCCATAACTAATAAATGCCTAATTCAAGTAATAAAAAGCAATTAAAGTATAAATTCATATAAAATGAAAGTCGTGGAGCATTATATAAATTATCAACTCTAATAAGTCAAATCATTTAAATTTTGAAACCTTAATATTTGTCGCTTCTCTCATACACATGTGTGCCATATTTGCCATCTGGGTGACGCAAGCCCTAGACAGTTGTCCCACGCTAGACGTAATCATGATTGTTCGTGGAACTTGAGTGCTGAAAATGACTAAGCTCACGGTCTCCTTGTAAGGTCTCAAGCTGTGTATGTGAGGACGAGCTCGAACATAGTGCACTTGTTTAGGGGAGGGTGACCTTAGTTCACTCCATGTGAAGTAGTGATGCTTTCTCTGATCCATTGATTTCGTGAGGCGTCAATTGACTCTGTGATTGGTTACTTATGCCGGATTTGACAGTGACCTAGGCGAGGGTCGACCTCGACCTCAGACGCAATTTTTGACTTATCTCGATAATTTGGGAGTTGAATTCGGACCCGACCTCGGCCAAGGTCAAGCTCAACCTCGATATGAAAATGACTTAATGGATTCCGAAGATCCCTTATCCGCAAATGTTGATACCCCTGTGATATATGAGAATATATTTCATCAATACCAATTTGATATTTGTATCATCTATTTTATTTTCCTTGACACTACACCCACAACATGCAAGCTTTTAATACTCTATAATCTATATATGTTTTTGAGACAACTACGTTAATCTATAGTAAATCATTATAAGTTGTTTCCAAATTTTGAACAGAACCAGACTCATCAAGTCAAAATATCAATTTGTTGTGTCATTGTGTGTGATTCATCTATTATCTTATGTTTGCGGTTATGTTCATTTTATATTATTTGTTAAACGAGTTTTCTTATGCAAATCTATATTTATTTCATTATTCATAAATTTTAATTATTATAATGAAATTTTTTTCATAATATTCTATAAAAAGAAATTTCATAATTTCATAAAAAGATGTAGAATATACAAATAACTCCAAAACGCAAAAATATTGACTTTGACATTATTATAGTTTTCACAATTTTTTATATATTTCTTTGAATTTTAACAAATCCTTAGAGTTTTTTTATATAAAAAGCTGCTATCATAGTTCAAAAATTGATTAAAAAGCTGGATTGATCAATTTTTTAAGATAAGCGCACTTGATTACACTTTTTTTTACTATAGACTTAAATGATAGAATGAAAATAGTAGAAAGATTTATTTAATCTTTTCCCAAATAATAAATACGGAGTGGTAATCATGATGTGCGCAGGGGCGGACCGTAGTACAGACCCAGGGGGCTACCGCCCCTCCAACAATAAATTTGTTTAGTGTATATATATATATGAAAAATAATTTTCGCCCCCTAAAGAATTTTTTTGTTTGAACTACCGCCCTTCCAAGATGAATTTCCTGGGTCCGTCCCTGGATGTGCGTAGTCAAATATTGGGGTAAATATGACGTATAAATAAAAAGAAACAAATTGCCAAACGGAGTCTTAGATGAAAGTAAATCGTGCTTCTTCAGTGCATTTTGCATTTGAGAAACAATGTATCACAATAACGTATGACAATTTTTTACAAAAAAAAAAAAAAAAAAACTCCCTCAATTTACTACAATATTTAATTTAGTTATTTCACAACACCATCTCAAGGTGAATGAATATGGTGTATAATTGTATAAATAACAAAACTCATATATAAACATAATCCAAACGTGCACTCTTACTTGGAACTCTTACTTGGAGAGAAATACACCGAGAGAGAAGATGGAGAAATGATTTGGAGACTCCAAATTTTTCTCAAATTTAACCCAATTTGGAGTAAATTTGAGAACATGTCATTGTACTGTAAATATCTTTACCCTTTCAATCAATGTTCATTTGCAAACTGGTCAACTTATTATTGTTTAATTTGTTTCCTCTATTGCATCCGGTTTGTAAATGTGCTTGTCTACTCCTGATGCAACCATTCTTGAAGGCGGTTTAGCTATAAATGGATTCAGAGGTGTGCTCAAATTATCTCCTTCCCCTTCTAACATTTGAAGGGCACTTGTCATGGAAGGCCGATCAACCGGATTCCATTGACTACACCACAAACCCACAATGGCTAGCTTCTTTGCGATTTTAGCATCAGTCTCTTCTTCAATATCAAACCTTAGATCTTCTCCTTGCTCTAACACATTATAAATCCACTCAGGGAAGTGCACCTGATCCTCGGCATGTGATTCAGTGTCAATACATTTCCTTCCACTCACCATCTCTAATAACAACATCCCGAAACTATAAACATCCGATTTATAAGAAACATTCCCGAAGTTTCTGGAGAACACTTCGGGTGCCATGTAGCCTATAGTGCCCCTAGCTGTTGTCATGGAGATCAGGCTTTGTTCCCTTGAGTACAGCTTAGCGAGGCCGAAGTCGGTGATTTTGGGATTGAGATTGTCATCAAGAAGTACATTGTGCGGCTTGATGTCAAAATGTAGGATTCTTTCATCACAACCGTGATGGAGATACTCAATCCCTTTGGCTATGCCAATAGCAATATTTTCCAAAGATTTCCAGCCAAGAAAACTTTTCTTCGAGTCTGGTGAAGAAATGAACTTCTGGAGTGAATCATTTGGCAAGTAATCATATACTACAGCCCGTTTAAACCCGTCTGCACAGAAACCGATCAAGCGGACTATATTGGCGTGGTGAATTTTCACTAATGTCCCAACTTCATTAATGAATTCCTCCCCATTTGCTTTGGAATCATTGAGGACCTTAACAGCTACTTTAACGTTCTCAGACAGCTTCCCCTTATAAACAGTTCCATGAGCTCCTTTTCCCAATTCGTACTCAAATTGATTTGTAATCCTCTCAAGATCAGCAAACAAGTATCTTGTGGGCTTGAAAGCTTTGTAATCATCCAAAAACTTCTTAACCTTGGCTTGATATTTCTTTTCAATTCTATAAAGTCTGTATCTATATGAGACTAGAAAAACTAGTCCTAATAAAAAGACCAAGCCGAAGACTACACCTGCACACACATAGAAGTCCATTTGTCTTATTGTTTGAGAAATGTGATTGCCATAATGTGTGAATTGACTTAACTAAGTATGTTAGCCAACCTGTAATCACCTTTTTCATTGAGCCTGTAAAAAAGTTAAAAAGATATGGGTTTTAGTACTAATATAATTAAGTATTATAATTAAAATTGACCTGTAGAAAATTTCAAACAAGTCCAAATAAATATTCCATACGCATAGCCTCATATGTGATTCCTTCGTTACTATCACTCCATCCCGTTTAGAGTTCCCGTTTTCGTTTTACGGACGTCCGAGCTAAAGGTTTTCATTTCTATTTTAGAAAATAATAACATTCTTAAATGACAATTTAATCATCAAATAGTAAAAAAGAGGGAAATAATTAAAATACCCCAAACTTTGAAGGGTTGTGAGATGAACCCTCCAAACTTGCATATGTAATTTAAATACCCCAAACTTTATATAAAAAGTTATTTTAGCTAACAGTCAAGTATTATTTCTTTCAAAAATGTAAATTTATGGTGTTAATTACATAATTTAAAATATTTTAGAATTCATGAAGACACAATTAACATTCTAAACTTATATTGCGAAATAAATAATGTTACCCACAATCTATGTAATTGCAACACTTCTAATTTGCTATTTTAAATTATGCAATTAACCCCATAAATTTACATTTTTGAGAGAAATAATACATGACAGTGGTGCGAAAATAATTTTTTATATAAAGTTTGTGGTATTTAAATTACATATGCAAATTTGGGATGTTTACCTCACACCCCTTCAAAGTTTGAGGTATTTTTATTATTTTTCCCTAGTAAAAATAATACAACTATAACATCACATTTATCATCAATGATCCTATAATATTATATACCAATCAAAATTATTTCTCAAAGTATACTCGAATTACCTTATTTAATCATTGTCTACTAAAAATAGTACTCAAAAATAAAAAATAGATACACATATATTTCTTTAATATTTTTTTGGGTAAGTTTCTCTTTTAAAAATATTAATTACTCTTACTTTTTCATCTTCTCCTTCACACATCTCCATCATTTCTCTTAATTTTCTATGTATTCATCACTCTTAATTTACTCCACTTTAGGTGGAAGCCTTTTTTACATTGGGCTATTGTTGTT